AGCCGCGACCGTCCTGTGCCGTGGTCCTTCGTCTTTCAGCACCATCTCGTTGAAGCTAACATTCTTAGTTTGTCGTAATGTTTAGCTGGTTTTCGTCTTGAGTGCGCTCACCCTTTCTCATGTTATTTCATGACTTAGAACTGTCCAAGTTGGAAGGCTGTTGGTTTGTCCATCCATGACGTGATAGAGCTTATCATCAGGTCGTTGAATGTCAGTAACACATCAGTCAGTTTTGTGCTAACTGCTGCACCTTCTGACTACACAACATCTTACAACAGTCCACCAAGGTAACGAGATGATAATATAGTCAGATAGTGCGACAATAGTTAGTCATAACTAGTTACTTAGAAGTCCTTTTCTCTTTCAATATTACTATTGGCTCAACATCCGAGTTTACAATATACAATAGTATGCCATATTCATATTTTATGTGTATGGTTTGTACAGTCCAGTTACCGGAAGGGTCTTTGGCGCCATATAATATCGCTTGCCGCCTCTTTGGGCGAACTCCAGAAATCCTGGAGTTCGACCTATCGGGGTAGGTGGGGTATTTAGACGAATTTGTTCAAACGGTGGCCTAGGGCCTTGGCTGAAATGGAATCCGACATTATCATGTTATGGAGTCGTGTGGCAGAACTGTACCGAGATCCTTACGGGCCTACATGTAGAGTCGATGCAACAGGCAATGAAATTTGCCTTTGAGCATGCTGAAACGGAGGCTCTGTTGTTGGTGGATGCTCAGAATGCATTCAACAGCCTTAATCGATGCGCCGCCCTTCACAATATTGCCAGGGTGTGCCCTCCACGATCTCAAATATCAACAAATACCTACCAGTCTCCAACAACCCTGTATCTTTCTGGCGGTGGAAGCATCCTATCTCGTGAGGGAACCACACAGGATGATCCGTTATCCATGGTAATATACGCCTCTGCATTGAAGCCTTTGGTCAAATCATTGTGTACTTCTGTGAATAGAGTCTGCCAGGGATGGTATGCCGATGATTCTGCCGCTGCCGGGAAGTAACTACAATGTAGTTCGGTCCGCTCTGCGTTTGGTATGATCATTTGAAAACTCATGGCGAGGATTATGGTTCCATCACACGGCTGTTAGGACCGATGGTGTACGCGATCGGTATCTTGGTGCTGGGCTAGGTGTGCCTCGGCGTTCCGTAATGATTGTGCGAGACAAGTAGACGTCCAGTGCTTGTTTCGTGCGCTGCATGGCCCTGGATGAGGAGGTACATGATTGTACTTGCTCCTGTGGGAACTTACTCGTAAGTCTTATCTTTCCCCTCCTTCTAATGTACTGTCTCTCCTCCTAACACTTCGTATCATGTACTAGTATCTGTCACTCCTTTCACATGATTTCTTATTCTTCTTTCTTTTTGGTGCGTTTTATGTCCCCATGATCACGTCGAGACCTCAGGTCGGCCGAGGGCAAAAAGTCTCACCATCCCTGGCACTATGCTCCCACTATGCAAATTTTTGTCTTTGCATGTGATCCGGCGTGAGCTGTGATCATTGTAAAAAAAATTAAAAAAAATGCTACCAATCAAAAGGCATGGGTGTAGTGGTTAATAGGCCTGTGGGGATTGCCCTATCAAAAATTTAATAAATAATAATAATAAATACGAAGTAGTGGTTGCGACTTCGGCGATGATTTGTAAGAAAGGTTTGCTCCCCACACCGGAGCTCGCGCTATTCCTCGACGTCTGTCTCACCGTCCAGGAGCGACACTCACGCTGCTATCTGGTGTTCACGAGGTGTTTATCGCGCTGGAAGCGGAGCGTCTCTGTAAGTCTGTATCCCTGGTGATGTTTGTGCCTGGAGAGCACTATATAAGTGGTGCTCTTCAGGCACAATCTTCCTCAGCCTACTCAAGCTCAACTGATGAGGGGTGAATTCCCCGAAACACTGTGTATTGAGCAGGGAGTGGTGCTTTCTTGCAGGTTTGCCGAGTCAAAGGTTCGATGGACTTCTCGTGTGCTCTGGATGGCAGTCGTGAGTCAGTCAAGTGTCAAGTAAAGTCGGCGGAATAGCGCGAGCTCCGGTGTGGGGAGCAAACCCTTTCTTAATAATAATAATAATAAATAATAGTTTTATTTATCAAGGAGGGGTTTTCAGGAGGACTCCGTTGCTTTTGTTATCTATTCAGTATGTATGTATTGCTATCGATTGATTTGGTTCCCAACTTCCCACCCTCCTACACAAAGACTGTGGTTCGTGGAGTCGCAACATACCAACTCCCTACCTTGGTTCAGGCTGGTTCGGGACTACAAAAAAATAATCGAGTACAGTATTCGGGACTTCGGCCAGTTCGGGTTGGCTCACTGCACTTGACACTTGAATTACTTGAACTTGAAGTCCTTAGGGACCATCGCAAAAGTTCGCAGAAGCCCCTGAAACGAAGAGCATACGTTGGGGGGGGGGGGGGGGGGAGGGAGTCGGTGTCGAAAATCGCAAACCGGGCTTCAATTCAAAAAAGTATTGACGACATGTAGGAGCTAATAATAGATTAGCATGCTCAAAGGATACAACTGCATAGCTCTAGCTGTTCTCGTTCTTAGATCACCCACTGCAAGGTGATATCATCGTTGCATTTATAAAGTGCTGTACATTGTTACGTATACATGTATATTATAACAAGGGACCGAATGTATATCGAGAAATATAGACCAGTATAAAAACCGAGGCGAAGCCGAGGTTTTTATAACTGGTCGATATTTCTCGTTATACCTCACTCCATATACACCCACACTCATATACCAGATCTCCCATGAAGTTTATAAATTTCCATATACACTGTTCAATATACACCACTAAGGAGGTATATACACCACTAAGGAGGTATATACACCACTGAGGAAAACCATCAGAAAAAAACCCACTGAGGGGCTTTCTTTCTCTAAAAAGGAGTGTATATACATGTAGCTTTCTTTCTCTAAAGCTATATTCACTCCTTTTTGCTCTTGAGCTTGCGCATGGAGAGGTATAAATATTATTATAACAAGGGACCTCGTGTATATCGAGAAATATAGACCAGTTATAAAAACCTCGGCTTCACCTCGGTTTTTATACTGGTCTATATTTCTCGATAATTATACACTCGGTCCCTTGTTATAATATATTTATACCTCTCCATGCGCAAGCTCAAGAGCAAAAAGGAGTGAATATAGCTTTCTTTCCCTAAAAAGGAGTGAATATAGCTTTAGAGAAAGAAAGCTATATACACTCCTTTTTAGAGCAAGAAAGCCCCTCAGTGGTTTTTTTTCTGATGGTTTTCCTCAGTGGTGTATATACCTCCTTAGTGGTGTATATACCTCCTTAGTGGTGTATATTGAACAGTGTATATGGAAATTTATAAACTTCATGGGAGATCTGGTATATGAGTGTGGGTGTATATGGAGTGAGGTATAAACCAGGGAGTAGTACAATATTGTATTGTACTACTCCCTGGTATAAACACTGATACAACAATGCTTGTGTAGTATTTTATAATAATTATTATGTGTGAGCATCCAAGTGAAGTAATGAAGCCCATATTGTGGCTGTAGTTTCGTTTGAGGGGGGTCAGGCCCGAAACTAACGGTCTTCGTTTCGGGCCGCGGGGGCTTCTGCGAACTACTTTTGCGATGGTTCCTTAGCTTGGCCGGTTGAAGCCTGGTTCACAACAATCTAGGAAACATGTCATCATGATGTCACTAGCACTTTCGTCAGAGACTCAGATGTCACAAATCACGATTAAGGCCATGGTAAAAAATAAATTTGATTCTCAGGTCATGAGCCTGTGAAAATCGGTGCGAGCGAGCGACTTTTTATTCTATTTCCCACAATTTTTTTCATTTCCAAAGATAGGGTCACACATGAACGTCACAGGTTAATAATTATTAGGCCAGGGAGTAGAAAAATACCGGTATTTTACTACTCCCTGATTCACGCCTTTCGCATTGACCGTTTTCATGTGCGCATATGCATGCATAGAAATAAAAAAATCATCCGTGCGCCGCCAAAAATCGGTGCGCGCATATATGCGCATACTTGAGAATCAAAGATAATTTTTACCGTACTGGCAATATATGTTGCCGCAGTGACGTGAGGCCATGAAGCGTTACATTGGCACATGTTTGCCGCACGCAGGGCGTTACATGCAAAGTCGCACAGGAGCCGTTACACAGGTTTCTATATTGCCGCAGTCCTTTTTTTGCTATTGCAGGACTTCCTGCTGCGTCCAGTTTTGAACTTTTCACCACGCGGTACACGTGCTTTCACAGTTGTTTTCAGCCTTTTTTGCAATGAAAAGATCGCCGCACCCCGCCGGACGCGCGTTACGAACTCAACGAAAAATTGTCGCACTAGCCTGGTTGCGCGTTACGCCGCACCCCCCTGCGTTACGCGTGAAGGCCGATTCACAATACAACTTTCTGCGACGCGACATGCGACTTGCGACGCATGCGACGAGCTGCGACAGCGACACGTACACACTGTCACGAACGGACATAAACGAGGGAAAATAAGGGGGTCTAAAATACTATTACTACTGCACTCCAGGGCAGTTCAACGGTGGCTGTGATCACAGTCCCTCGTCTCCGTCGTGAGAACATCAAAAACTCATCATATCAAGTGCTATTATCGAAAACACTGTCACGAGAAGAAGGTCTAACCAGACACAACTTCCATACCAAAAAACCAGAAAACTAGACCAAGAAGAAAAAACTGTTCTCCGCTCTAAAAACACGGTAAACGATTATGACGTAAGGCGTCCAAAAGGAGCGAGAGTTTGAACTCCCGTTTGAACTTACAACAGATATGGCTGTAACTAAGTGTAAGAGATAGTAGGGGTCAAAGCATGCATACGCGAAATGTGTACAATAATGCACGACGTGGGAAAAGCGGGAAATAGTAAGTTCATGACTGCGCAGTCATGACACTCCCGAGGAACAAAAGAAACAAACTATTTTACTGTGACATTGAATATTAAAAGACAATGGAATAGATACTGTCTACATACATACATACGTAGAAACAAAGGTGAAAGCTACAGACACCAGCTCAGCCTGCATTTGTGCATTGAGCCTTTCCTTTGCCTTCTGGGCGGCCATGCGCTGAGGCCTGCTGCTAGCAACATCAGTGCTGCCGTTGTCGATGACATCAGTGTTCTCCTTCTCCTCCGTTGCGTTCACTTCTAGCGGGTAGAGGTGGTTGATCGGTCGGTTCAGGATGGAGTTGGTCGTCTGTACTGTCGCCGAACGAGTCTTGCCGTCCTGCGCGCTGTCATGCAGTTCTCTGATTTTTCCCATCTTCCACATTCCACGTGGTAGCTGGTCGTTCTTGATCATGACCATGTCGCCGATCTTGGGATCAGTGGTTCGGCTCCTCCTGAGACGATGGTTGATTGGCTGTCGGCTGCGAAGTGCAAGGATATAGTCATCTCTCCACAACTTCCAGAACGTGTCCAGTGCAGCTTGCTGCTTCTTCTGCAGTGACGTAATAGTAGCGACTGGATCTCGTTGGGGCATGTAGTCATCTGACTGGATATCGTCAGGAAGTCCCAGTGAGCGAGTTGGGGCAATGAAGTGGTTTGGCGTGATGATTCCATCTGTCGACTCTGACGGTACATACGTCAATGGGCGTGTGTTGAGCATTGCCTCAACTTCCGTTGTGATTGTGTTGAACTGCTCGTAGGTGAATCGACTGCGGCCAATGGCTTTGTGGAAAGCTCGCTTCACCAGACCAACTAGTCGCTCATAGAAACCGCCTTGCCACGGTGCAAACTCAGTGGTGAAAACCCAGGTTACCTTGTGTTCTGCAAGGTAGCAGGCCAGCTCAGGGCAGGTTAGGATCTTTTTCCACTTCTGATCGAGGTACGTCTGTGCCAACTTGAACTGTGGCGCATTGTCTGAGATGATCTTGTCAGGTCGTCCTCGCCTGGCAATGAATCGTTTCAAACAGTTGACGAACTGGGCCGTTGTTAATCCCATCACTACTTCCAAATGAACCGCACGGGTTGCCATACAGGTGAAGAGGCACACCCATACCTTCTGTGTTGTACTGCTGATGTTGACGCTGAATGGGCCGAGATAGTCGAGGCCGATGTACTGAAATGGATGAGACTGCTGTACTCGTTCTGCTGGTAGCTGTGGCATCTGGGGTAGACGGAACGGTTGCCCTTCGTGTTTCTGACAAATGACACATTTACTCAGAACGGCTTTCACAGCTGCTCGCCCTTGTGGAAGCCAGTACTTCTGTCGAATCTGGGCAAGTGTGTGAGACACTCCGGCATGAATGAGACGCGCATGAACTTCCCGGATGATCAGAGTACTTAGCTTACTGTGTCGGGATATCAGCATAGGGCGAGTCGCATCTTCAGGTAGCTGAGCATTGTCTAGCCTTCCATGGCATCTTAGCAGTCCTTCAGCATCCAGGCGAAGTCCGAGCTGGTCTTGAAGGGGGTGACGAGTACCGCTGTCTATAGCTTTGAACGCATCCGTGAAGTTCTGTTGTTGGTGTTGTCTGATGATGATCTTCTCTGCGATGCTGAGATCACTGGCTGCTACGTACTTGGTGCGCGAAGCATCATCAAAGACCATTGCTGCGAGGGGAATCTTTGGCCGTAGCTTCTCTCGTGTGCTGCTACTGACCTTGCTCCAGATCTTTTTGCCAATGAAACGGAGGCAGATTGCTGTAGTCCTCAAGAGCGATCTGAGGGATGAAACACGTTGTTCTGCTGCCTGAAGCGAATACGTTTCTGTGCTGTCGTTGATGACGGCAGCTGTGTTCCCAATTGTAATGAGAGGGGAGCGTCTCTCTTTGTCTGCTTCTGCAATGTCTTCTTGCGTGACGATCAGTTTTCCTGTTGGCCAGTCCTCTTTGTCTCCTGCTAGCCATGCAGGACCCTGCCACCAGAGAGAAGACTCCTTCAACTCCTCTGGCTGAAGACCGCGTGTTGCTATGTCTGCAGGGTTGTCCTGGGACTGAACGTGACGAAACTGTAGCTGCTGATTGGATTTCACTTCCTTCACACGATTGGCAACAAATGTTGAGAGATGATGGGGCGTTGTGAGCCAGTGGAGAACACACTTGGCATCAGTCCAGAGGTATGTTGGGATGTTGTTCTGAAGTTGAAGCTGGGATTGGATGAACTTGACCATCCTGAATCCGATGACCACGCCGAGCAGTTCCATACGAGGAATGGTGACTGATTGCTTCTTGGACGGTTTGTTGGCTGACGGGGTCAGTCGGGATCTGGAGAAGATGAGATTCACCGTGTACTTGTTGGAATCCGGAATCTGCACTTGGAGGTAAGCTGCTGCTGCATATGCATCCTTGGATGCATCTGTGAAGATATGTAGACTCATCGGTTGACTTGCACTCGCAGGACCAATGAACCTTGGAATGGTGACGGTCGTCGTCTGCCGGAGTGCTGATTGGATGTTGTCCCACTCCAGGAGCATTGGTGCGGACAATGGGGCATCCCACTCCAGACCTTCCTCCCATAGCCGACGAAGGTACCGCTTCCCTTGCAGTGTAGATGGTGTCATCAATCCGAGTGGGTCAAACACGCTTGCCACTTTGTTCAGCACGCTGCGCTTTGTGACTGGACCGACTGATTTCTCATTGATGCTGTTGGACACGGCGATGTTATCTGCTTTGCTATCCCACTTGAGCCCAAGGACTTTGGTAGATGCTGATGGCAATCGGTCGATTTCTTGAATCTTGTCCAACACTTTGTCGGAGTTGGAGGTCCAGTCCCGTAGGTTCATGGATGCATCTGAGAACAGCTGCTTGGCTTCCTTGTAGAGATGAATACCTTCTTCTGGGGAGTAGACCGTGGTTATTAGGTTGTCCACATACAGATCACGTGCAATAGCACCAGACACATCGGTCTGGGCCTGTGTGAGGTGCAGCTGAATGGTAGCAGCGAGCAGAAATGGGCTCGAGACTACACCGAACGGCACTCGACAGAAACGGTACGCTGTGACATTGCCGTTAACCTTCTCAGGTGTGGTACAGTCCTTGTACCAGATGAATCGGGTGACGTCCCTGTCACTTGGCTGAATAGAAATTTGAAGAAATGCTTTCTCTACGTCAGCGCTAATCACAATTGGCTTGAGACGGAAACGCATTAGCAGGCCGCAGAGGTCAGGGAGTAGCACTGGGCCACGGTAGAGGCAGTCGTTCAGGCTTGGAGATGTTGCACTCGCTTTGGCTGATGCATCATACACTATCCTGACCTTTGTTGACTTCGCTGGTGTCACAACGGGGTGGTGTGGCAAATAGTGTTGTTTACCACTGGTTCCGGAAAGTTGAACTTCTTCAATGATTCCCTTAGCTAGCTGCTGTCGGATCACCTTGTCATAACTCTCGAGCAGCTGTCCGTCTGTAGCGAGTCGTTTGGCCAGTGATTTCATTCGGCCAAGGGCTAAGCCGTAGTTGCTAGGAAGTTGATCTTTGGTGTCATCAGGCTTCCATGGCCATTGGATGGAATACCTGCCATCGGAATTTTCCGTTGTCTTGCGAAATTGCGCCAGTGCGATTTCGTCATCATTCGCGTAGGGTGAATCCTTGATTCCGATATTCTCCAGTTGCCAGAATTGAGACAGTACCCTGTCCTCTGTGTTACGGTTGGAGATGCTTGCAGCTCCTGAGAAAATTGAACCGCTGCTGGTAACCACCAGGGAGGTCGTGTCATCATTGCTGCATTCATCCGGTAGTGAACTGCAGCCGGTGAGCAGGTATCCAAATTCGGAGGAGACTAGCTTGAGTCCTGATGGCAGTGTGATAACATTATTGCCCACCAGTTGCCAAAAGTAGTCAGCACCAATTAGAAAGTCGATGTTGACAGTTTCCATTGCGTGAGGCACAGAATCTGCTAGCGCTGTTGGAGACAGCTGTTCAAGAAACGCCAAGTCGGTCTGTTGCACGGCTTGTTTCACAATTGGGTTGGTTATGGTAGGCAGAGTATTCACCATTATCTGTGCCATGTTACCGTCTCGGAGGTTGACAGCGAGTTGGAACGATTGCGAATTGAAGCTCTTGGACTTAGTTGCTGCCATGGTGTTCAGGTAGAGCCTCTCTTCATTCTCGACTGGTAGCTGGAGTCGTTTAGCTAGAGCTGCAGTGATGAACGATCGTTGGCTGCCACTGTCCAGTAGTGCGTTGACCATGACCTTCTTCCCACAATGGTCAGTCACGTTACACTTAGCGGTTTGCAGCATGGCTGACTGAATAACTGCTTTCAGTGTTGAGACGCTCGTGGTGGCTAGTTCCGTGGTTTCATCTGGAATTGCCGCCGGCTCTTGGCTTGGCATCTCTGTCTGTGACAAAGCTGCGATTGCTGCTGTCTGTGGACTGCCATTGGCCAGTGAATTTGTTTGCTGGTGTTTCGGAACTTCGACTGCTGGATTATATTGTTGACCCTTCTTGGGACAAATAGCACGACTGTGGCCTGTTCCGCTACAGTGGTAGCAATTTCTACTACGGTGTGCACAATTCCTTGCGATATGGCCTTCTTTGAGGCACACAAAGCACCTACGTAGGGACAACAGTTGATCCTTCCTGGAATCCAGTGTTGAGTAGTTGGTACACTCATCACTGAAATGGCTTGACCGACAGAAGACGCAGGACGGTTCTCTTCTGGGGCTTGCCTGGCTGGATACGAATCCCATTGTTGGTGGACGATGGTGTTGTTGCTGGTGTCCATGTATCTTAGGCTGAGGTGTCTGGCTGATGTTGTCGGTGAACTGACGAACTGTGTTCTGCATTGCTACATACTTCGCTAGCATCTCCCGTACTGTTTTGACCGTCCATGGCACAGTATGGTCGGATTTCTGCTCCTCCAGTTTGCTGACGAGCTGGAACGGGAACTTCGAGAAGAGTTGCTGAATGAGGACGCGCTGAGTATCCAGGTTCTCTCCCTGAGCTTCCAATTGACGAAGGAGTTTCTCCATTTGGTCAATGGTAGCCTTCACTTCAGTAAACCGGTTGTTACATTGTGGCAGCTGTGCCAGTTTACGATACAGTGTTGCCACTATCAGCTCAGGCTGTCCAAATTTGTCCTTCAGCATCGTAACTGCGATAGGATAGTTAGCTGCTGTTATTGGAATGCCTTCGATGGCTGCTGCGGCGACACCCGTCAGGACGCTTTTGAGGTACGTGAATTTTGATACGTCCGGCAACGATTGACGAAGACCAACAGAGGACTCAAATGTCTGCCAGAATTCTGGCCAGTCCATGATGTCTCCATTGAACTGAGACAGTTTCAGCTGAGGAAGTTTCACCACTGGACTGGAGCGTGCAGCTTGCATGGCTGCTACTGCTGCCTGTGCCGCCACCTCAATGGTGGACAGCGTTGTTGGTGCACTGTGGATACTGAGACTTGACGATGCTCGTCGGATGCCATCTACAATGATCATAGCTGGAGACTCGTTCTGGTCTCTAGAATCTTCTTCCAGCTGCACTGCTGTTTGTTGATGCGCCTCCTCGTCAACTACTGGTATGTCCTCAGTGGCACTGGCACTATTGGTGGTGGCATCCACTGAAGTCACTGAGGCTTTCTGGTGCTGTTGCTGAGCAGCCAGAATGGCGGATTGGGACTGACGCTTCAATTTCTCCTCTTCAAATACGACTTGGTCGACAGCTATCTGGGCATCTTCAAAAATGCGCCAAGACACATTAAATTCACGCTCCCACTCCTCTTCTTCGTCGTGTACACTACATCTTTCTAAGTCGTCCAGAACATTGAAAATCTCATCCTGGGTGAGTAGTATTTCTCGTTTCAACTGTACAGCATCGTCAATCTGGGGCTGAAGCCTCTTTGGATCGATCCATACTTCCACATAGCTTTCTGTTGTTTTTTCCAAAATGTACGCAGTACATGCCCTGATGCGCTCGTATCTTCGCATGCACCGGCGTCGACGCTTCTGCGCGTCCTTGATGGCCTGCAGGCCTTTCTTCTGGGAGTCATCTTCCTGACATGTTGTGGCTGTAGCACAACCTTCAGTGGCTTCACTAGTACGATTAGAGTCTTCACTTGACATCATATCCTATCCTGGTCACAGCACCATGTCACGAACGGACATAAACGAGGGAAAATAAGGGGGTCTAAAATACTATTACTACTGCACTCCAGGGCAGTTCAACGGTGGCTGTGATCACAGTCCCTCGTCTCCGTCGTGAGAACATCAAAAACTCATCATATCAAGTGCTATTATCGAAAACACTGTCACGAGAAGAAGGTCTAACCAGACACAACTTCCATACCAAAAAACCAGAAAACTAGACCAAGAAGAAAAAACTGTTCTCCGCTCTAAAAACACGGTAAACGATTATGACGTAAGGCGTCCAAAAGGAGCGAGAGTTTGAACTCCCGTTTGAACTTACAACAGATATGGCTGTAACTAAGTGTAAGAGATAGTAGGCCTAGGGGTCAAAGCATGCATACGCGAAATGTGTACAATAATGCACGACGTGGGAAAAGCGGGAAATAGTAAGTTCATGACTGCGCAGTCATCATGACACACACGGTTCACAATATTCTTCATGTTTGCGACATCCTCATGCACAAGTATAAGCAAGAGTCCATAACCAGATAACCCAAGAGTATGCAACTGTGATCTCTTTTCTATGGGCCAACCGCGCGGCGCGCTGCCTTCATTACATCATTCAGCTGCAGTCCGCGCACTGCGGAAAATCAAACACCGCACTTTCCCGCTAGTTTGAAATGAACTTTCGTACGGAACTGGAGTTCACGCGCCAGAATTCAGAGATTGTGTAGGTACTGGAACGAATCGAGCAAAAACGGATGGGCTCGTGCGAGAAATTGAGAGTTTGAATGCATGCTTTCAGAGCGTGATGAAGGCAAGTTACGTAATGAAGGCAGCGCGCCACGCATGCACCCATAATCACAGTTGCATACTCTTGGGTTATGGACTCCGGACTCTTGGTATAAGTAGTACTATGCACGTGCACTGCACGTACACTGCACGTGCACCCAGGGTCGAAACTGTACTCCATTTGTGTATGTCGCGTGTCGCATGTCACGTCGCAAAAGTTGAACTTTCTTCAACTTCTGCGACAGGTGCATTGCGACAGCTTGCGACAGCTTGCGACAGCTCGCGACAGGCAGTTTCTTGTCGCAACTGTCGCAAATCGCGTGTCGCGTCGCAGAAATTAGAAAGTTGTATTGTGAATCGGCCTTTACGCGGCAACATATACAGTCAACTTCGCCAATAACGACATTCGGCGGGGCATCAGAAAAGTGTCCTTATTCGCGAAGTGTCCTTATAACCGAAGTCCCATTTGAACGTATGTGAACCCATATTTTGTATAGTATGATATGCATATCAAAATCAAGCTCTTTTTTTGCTCTATGTCAATGTGTACTTTATTTTCATATTGCAGTTGAAAGGAACTAAAAATTCAATATGCAAGGGAAATCAATTGAAAAATATGCCTTTTTGAGCAATCTACAGGGCCAGAGATATGTACATGTATGATGATTACTGTACAATCATGTACAACTACATGTACATTGTATACATATAGGTGTGCTGGTAAATCCAACCATTTTGAAGCCAACATTAAAAAGGAAGAAAAAGCCCCCCCCCCCCGGCTGCATTTTCTTGCATGTGTGCAATAATATCCATCACCAGTGCACCATATGCATAGGTTCTGGTACTTCTGCATGACACTACATGTACTTGACTGACAGGTACTTGAAATAGCTGTCAAAAGCCCAGAAAGTCGTTATTCAAGCAGTGAATATGACCACGGGGCACTAAAAGCATGTCGCTATATGCGAATTGTCGTTATTCAGATAGTCGTTATATCCGAAGTTAAATATATACAGTTAGATGGGACTTTGCTCTGGGCATGGAAATTCGGTCGTTATTCGCGAATTGTCGTTATATCCGCAGTCGTTATTAGCGAAGTTGACTGTATTGCCAGTACGGTACATGTACTATGGTACCATGGCCTAAATTAAAAATTTTGTTTCGCAAACGTTTTGGAAACGAAAATGAACACCAGTTTTTTTTTCTCAGCATAGAACATTTTGCATGCACCTTCCATGTGTTGTTTGTTCCCCTCTTTACAGTAGCAATTTTTTCCTGTACGTTGCCATCTGTGGAGCACAATGGATGCTATTTGCGAAACAGTGGGATGCGGCAAGCCGTCCAAGCTTCGCTGTCCGACTTGCGTGAAGCTGGGTATTCCAGGCAGCTTCTTCTGCTCGCAGGACTGCTTCAAAAGTTCGTGGAAAGCACACAAAGGTGTACACGACATGACGGCCTCCAGCAAGGATCAAACTCCGCAGGAGGCCCTTCTCTCTTCAAGAAAGTGGTCTGGCTTCCAGTTCACAGGCCCGTTACGTCCGTATCCCGTCAGTCCGTACAGACCTGTGCCAGCGCACATTCCAAGACCTGACTATGCAGAAACTGGTGAACCAATCAGCGAGCAGCAGGCCAAACGCGCAGGTATGATACGCGTGCTAAACGACGAGGAGATCGAAGGTATGCGTGTAGTGGGAAAGCTGGCACGAGAGTGCCTAGACGTTGCCGCCAGGGCATGCGAAGCTGGCGTAACGACGGACGAGGTTGACCGGCTGATGCACGAGGCGGCCGTCGAACGCGAATGCTACCCCAGCCCACTGAACTACTACAACTTTCCAAAGTCGCTGTGCACATCGGTGAACGAGGTCATCTGCCATGGAATTCCGGACACGCGTCCGTTGGAGAACGGCGACTTGTGCAACTGCGATATCACCGTGTATCATCGGGGCTTCCATGGAGATTTGAACGAGACTCTGTTTGTGGGTGATGTGGATGAGAAGTCCCGTGATCTCACCAAGGTGGCGTATGAGTGTCTGATGAAGGGCATAGATATTGTGCGGCCGGGCACAAAGTTCCGTGAGATCGGCAATGTGATCCAGGCGCATGCGTCTGCCAACGGGTACTCGGTAGTCAAGTCCTACTGCGGACATGGCATCAACAGCTTGTTCCACTGTGCGCCCAACGTGCCGCACTATGCCGGAAATAAGGCGGTGGGAGTGATGAAGGTCGGCAACACGTTCACCATCGAGCCCATGATCAACGCGGGCTCGTGGCGTGACGTGTCCTGGCCCGATGACTGGACTGCCGTCACCCGCGACGGCAAGAGATCGGCGCAGTTCGAGCAGACCCTGCTTGTCACGGACACTGGCTGCGAGATCCTGACACGGCGGCGGGAGAATGACGGCTTGCCCTGGTTCATGGATAAGAAGTGATGTGGAGTGCTGTTCGCTATTGCTAGGCTATGGCTGTGGATAGCTGATTTAGCATGAGCAGAGTCTGCGCTCACGAATGATGTCATACCCAGGAGAGGTGCTGGCGAATGATGTCATGTTTGGGAGAGCCACTGACGATGGGTGTCCTACCTATACTTGGCTATAGGAACCTCTCTGTTGAAATTATTTTCCCTGTTTCAAGGTGTGCGCTTTGATACAGCTAAACAGCTGTTTGCCATTCTCCTGAGAGGCGTGTGGTAGACACGGGTTATCTTGCGTGGCCATGCATGCCTTGTGTTGAAACCGCAGCGTTTAGTTGTTTTGACTCCTCTCCATATGTCCACGCGCGACATTACATCCGTTTTAATGTCCGCACACAACATTCATTTTTATAGGGGTAGTTCTTTGGCGGCGACACCATCCTGCTTTGCAGTGGCGCTCTATTCGACATGCTGTTCTATAGAGAGGCATGCAATAGCACAATGTTGCTGTGCGTGTTGGGCCATGTTCCCCCGTGTCAGAACCTAAGAACATTGGTCCTAAGATTATACATCGTCATTTCAACCGGCGTTCACTTGTCTGGGAAGTGCTTCACCCGATCTGCTATGACCAGCACCCATGGACTGACAGTGAGCGAAATACATAGCCATCGTGGCGTTATCTATCATTCTATGGCGATCCTTTTTTCTGTGGCTCTTGTCCCATTCTCCTTTTAGCATCTTGTTTTCTCTGGTCTCTTCTTGAAGGTCTTTCTACTGACGTTACCGATATGCCTTTTGTCAATTGTTTCTGAGTACACGTACTTGGTTGCCTGCACTACCCTCTGCTAGCCTAGGCTCTGGGACTCGTGGGAGGTGCCAGCATTTTTCACAGGGCAAGGCCTTGGCATCATGCATGTGCAATGTGACTATGTAACACAAAACGAAAATGGTTTGGTTGCTGCCACAGCCTGGATTCAATGATGAAGGAAGGAGCCAGCCTGTCCAAACAGGATTCCGCAGCCGCCCAATTTTCCATTAGCTTTCATCCGCGTTTTCGAGAAATTTTGCATAAAACCCACGTTTATCACTCCCCCTCACGTGACCGCGGACTCCTGCATATACACTCACACAATAACCACACAACTGTTTGGGGATAGCGCGCTTATTGTATTATGCCAAACTTGACACGCTGAGTCCAGCTTGACTCAGCTGAGTCCCTAACTGCAATTTACTGCTCTAACATGAAGCCGTGCCTGGAAGAAGGGAAAGAGCGAAAAAAGAAAAAAAAATTCTGGCCTTCTGCAAGCAATAGCAAGTAATAAGTGACGGCTGTGTAAAGTCGCACAACCATGCAGTCGACCGGATGATGGTGAGTGTCCGGCACACATCTTGCTCTGCTGCTCCACCTGCGCATACCTGATACGGTGGTGCGCTTACGGGCGGGCTGCCTGGGCCCCAGATGCCTCCTTGATGCGCCACGGAGTGCCGTCGAAGCACCTGTATCACTTCGGTGATCCAAATGCGAATGCAGCCTTGCCGGTCGCCCGCCGGCCTGCCGCCTACGCGACCAGCCTGAGACTGGCCCTGCCGCATTTGGCGCTTCTAAACGCTGCGATCCGGTAGACAGCTCACTGGGCTGCCAAATACGTGACTGGCTTGAGGACAGTTCCATACTGGGCAGGGCGCCCAGCTCAGGTCGCACGCCGTAGCGGCGTGAGCTGGGCGCGGTGAGGGTTGGTGATAACTACAGTTTCCTCCTTCCTCCTCCGGAAACTTCCATTATCCATGCATGATGGGATCCGGGAATGTACAAGAAAACGTGCATTATGATGTTGAATGTACTACAGCTGTACAAAGTCGTACCCGCCTATGAGTTTGTACGACAAAGTAACATTAGTTGTACCTACATGAAACTGTACGCTAAAGTTGTACCAATATTATGCGATGACCGATAATCACTCGTGCATAATCAATGACATCACCTGCATCTTTGTGCTGATCTGATGTCATGATGATGAACAAAAAATAATCATAAAAATAATGATTTTGTCCGGATTAATCTGTTTTTTTTTTGTGTACATGTACATGCCATGCGCCATCTCATTCAAATAAAAATATTGAAATTTGCTGAGAAAAGTTCAGCACAGCGAACTTCCTGCCTCGGTTTGCCCGTTCTTCTTGTCACGAACTTGCTTTCTCTTGCCAGTTTTAGGACGCAGTGCTGTTGCTTTTCTCTGCTTGTCCCAGTGCAAGTCCTTTCACATTGCTTGACGTAGTGCCACTTTCTGCGCAGTGTCCACCAATATCCCAATTTGATACACAACAAAAAATTATTAATTGAGCACTTCCTCAACATCCGGCTGTACACACTCCTGAAAGAAAGAGATAGAGTCGTCTCCGTCCCGCATTAACATGGCAGGTCGGTTGCCGCTTCTTCTGTCGGTCCTGCTCTTGCCTCTTCTGTCATATTTGTTCACGTATTGGCTTGTGGATTTCCTATGGCCTGCAGACGCTGGCGCTGGCGGTAAAACTGCCAAGAAGAATGCCAAACGCCAGGCAGCTAGGGCCAAGAAGCGCTTGTTGGATACGTCTGAACCTGCTTCAGGGTCTATGGTTTCTGGTGGAGTGACGTCAGCTGGTGCGGGGCCTAGGTCTGGTCAGCCTTCTATAGACTCACTGCGGCAAGAAATGGCTCAGGCCAAAGCTGATGGGGTAGGTTTGCACTTTGTCCTCGTGTGTCTGTTGGTGCACAGACACGCACACACACACACACACACACACACACACACACACACACACACACACACACACACACACACACACACACACACACACACACACACACACACACACACACACACACACACACACACACACACACACACACACACACTATACACACACACACACACACACACAGCAATATTGTACATGTACTAGTATACAATACAACCAGAGGCGGCCTGCACATGGGAAGTATAATACCATGTTCTAGTATAATAACGTATGGATTATAGCATGAGTACTATGTCCACCAGACACGGTATACACAGGGTACGAATGGTATAATCCAGTTATCCCGTGGTGCTTTCCTAAATATAGAGTGTAACCAACACTTAACTCCCTTATTCCCGTAGCTATGCAAAAGACGTTACTTCAGTAACGTCTGGCGCTAGCCAGGGTCCACACAGCTTTAATTACGTGTTTGTGTGTTTGTGCCGTCGGCATGCCTGGCGCTAACCCGTACCTGTCCCGTACCGTACGTACCATCAAAGACAGCTGGCCACAATAGAGACGTTCTGCAAAACGAAAATGTGTACGAACTTTCGCTCTACGTCACGAAGTGAGAAACTTCGCACGAACTTTCGCAACTTTGGACGCGAAACTTGCAGGGAACGCGAAATGAACTTTCGTAGGAAGTTTCGTGAGATTGGGTCATGTCGTACGTGCACTTGGCGCGTGCAAACTACGAAAATGTGCAGAACACAAAGTTCGTGCGAAAATTCGTACACATTTTCGCAAGGCCTGTCGCGAAACTTCGTTCGAATTTTCGTTGTGCAGAACCTCTCTAATATTCAAATAGGGCTTTCAAATGCAAGATTATAACGTGAAGCAACTTGGAAGAATGAGTATGTATGCGAAGTGTATCGGTGGAATGCATGAAGGGCGATAGTGAGGGTTCTAATCCTAGGTTATGTCTGAAAAAAAATAGGAGAAATGAACAATTTATAACATCCCTATGCTTTTTTTGCCTAGGTCATCAAGGTGGTAAACGGTGTCGTATTACCCTCGAATGCAAAGAGAAAGTTTATTTCTTTCGCTCAGTGCCCTCCGCTATGCTTTTTTGGCTAGCTCATCATGCATGTTATTCAAACAGATGGAATTTTTTTGCAATACAATGATGTAGCCGATCAGTTCATTGTGGTATGGTGGGCATCGTAGCCGTCTGTCCCATAAGCTGCCGCATACCAACTAAATACAAAACCATGCACTTCACACGAGCTGACTTGCACGCGTGGTACTTTTCACGAACCCAGACAAAGGGATTGGTCTATTATAACGCATGTACGAAGTCACTAGATTACACCCGCACCAGAGATGAAGGCGAGAGCTGTGGCCGAAGAACGGAAAAGATGCCTGGCGCTATCCCGTACCTGTCCTGTACCGGACCATCAAAGACAGCTGGCCACAATATTCAAATAGGGCTTTCGAATGCAAGATCATAACGTGAAGCAACTTGGAAGAATGAGTATGTATGCGAAGTGTATCGGAAATGCATGCAGGGCGATAGTGTAGGTTCGAATCCCAGGTTATGTCTTGAAAATAAATAAATAGGAGAAATGAAAAAATTATAGCATCCCTATGCTTTTTTTGCCTAGGTCATCAAGGTGGTAGACGGTGTCGTATTGCCCTCGAATGCAAAGAGAAAGTGTGATGTAGCCAATCAATGGAAAAAACATTTCCATCAGTTCTAACAACATGCATGATGAGCTGTGCAAAAAAAGCATAGCGTAGGGCCCTGAGCTTCCACGCTCTCTCGTTTCTTTCGCTCAGGGCCCTACGCTATGCTTTTTTGCCTAGCTCATCATGCATGTTATTCGAACAGATGGAAACTTTTTGCAATACAATGATGTAGCCGATCAGTTCGTTGTGCTCATATTCAAACTGATTGAAACGTTTTTGCAATACGATGATGTAGCCAATCAATGGAAAAAAATATTTCCATCTGTTCTAGTAACATGCATGAGCTAGGCAAAAAAGCATAGCGTAGGGCCCTGAGCTTCCAAGCTCTCTCGTTTACTCTTTGAATGACCCATGTGAACCGAGCGGGGGGGGGGGGGGGGGGGGGGGGGTGTCGCTGAATATACCCTTCTCAGAATGGCTGCTGATTGGCTGATATCATCCCAATCACACCTCACCATGGGATAATGAGTGGATATTACCCCATGCACACGAAGCCTGAATTTCGTGTCGTTTATCTTGATGGCTTACGTAAAATTATTGCATGCTTGTCTTGTTCATGAACAATTACCCTGAACAAGACACAATTTAATGGCTATATGGCCTGTGTGCTTGTGTGTGCAACGCATGCGCGTGTTCTTATTCCTGTGTGTATTTCTAGGATGTAAAGCGAGCACAAGAGATCAGAGAACAGATCTGGCTGCTCAAGGATCGTGCTGCTGGTGTGCTCGGGTAAGCTCTCTTGCACTTGTTGTCAGGTCCATGCATGTGGCGTGTGTCATCCTAGCCTTGTTGATAGGTAACATGTTTATTTTGGTTGACAGCAGGGTTGTAGGCAGGAGCACTGTTTTTTCAACACAGTGCGTCCTCCGCCTTGTAACATGCTGTCGACCAACATAAACATGTATGTGGCAAACGGTGTTTAGGCCGACTGTCGGATAACGATATAAACAATAAATTGGCAGCCATCCGGATCTCCGTGACGATGAAAATCCTGGGCATCAGTTGCAATGGTGATCACAGCATTAGTGAGTGCGTTCGAATATGCCCACGAATCGATTCGCGCTATTCACATCACCCCATGTGAATAGGGTGAATGGATTCCGAATCGATTCCAGGGCTCGTGACATAAAAATCGAACGATTTGAATGCATACGAATGGATTCATGAATCGATTCAAGTGCATAATCGAACGCACTCAGTGTTACTTCGATCATGAATGACAGAATCCTAGCCAGGTAGGTGACTCAAGACATGTTACTTCCGAGTCTCTTTGATATTTGGCTGTACAGTAGAACCTGTGTTTTGGCCGGACCCTGTACCAAGCGCCATCCTATATTGACCGCATAAATTTTCATGCAGCAAAGTGCTATGGCTCGAACGTACATCCCTGGACCAAGCGGAATACTGTCATCAGGACTTTGTTTACTGTACCAAGGGTGTCCGGTTAGGGCAGCTTTAGCTGTATTTTGTTTCCCTGAAAACTTTCAGATACTCAGTAGTCTTTTTTTAAATCTTTTTCTGTGTATTCGGTCCTTGCAGCGAAGGATTTGAGCGTGCAGCGGCCAGTTTAGCAGCCACCGCGGCAGCAAGGCCTTCGGCACCACCAGCAGCTGAATCAGGTGGCACAACACCAAGATCGACGCCAGCAGCGTCTCAAGGTCCGCCAGTGGAACTCACGGAATCTGAGAAGCGACTACGAGCACTAAATAAGAAACTGCAACAGATTGAGAAGATCAGGGCTGCGCAGAAGGAGGGAAAGCCCCTGGAAAGTGGACAGGTCTGTTCTTGTATGATTGGGGTGGGGTTGGCCATTTGCATGGTGTATATGCATGGGTACTGCGAGGAGTCCATAGTCAACATATTCCAACTTGGCAAGCCCATCGCCTCTAAAGTAGGAGTTGCACACTATTGGTTACATGGTAGTACTCTTGATGGTACCCTCTGAATGCAATCCCATGTACCCATGACCACTGACCACCACCCCATAGAGGTACAATGGTATCTTTCAAACCTGTACTAAGTGACCACTGGCCACCACCCCATAGAGGTACAATGGTATCTTTCAAACCTGTACTAAGTGACCACTGGCCACCACCCCATAGAGGTACAATGGTATCTTTCAAACCTGTACTAAGTGACCACTGGCCACCACCCATAGAGGTACAATGGTATCTTTCAAACCTGTACTAAGTGACCACTGGCCACCACCCATAGAGGTACAATGGTATCTTTCAAACCTGTACTAAGTGACCACTGGCCACCACCCATAGAGGTACAATGGTATCTTTCAAACCTGTACTAAGTGACCACTGGCCACCACCCATAGAGGTACAATGGTATCTTTCAAACCTGTACTAAGTGACCACTGGCCACCACCCATAGAGGTACAATGGTATCTTTCAAACCTGTACTAAGTGACCACTGGCCACCACCCATAGAGGTACAATGGTATCTTTCAAACCTGTACTAAGTGACCACTGGCCACCACCCATAGAGGTACAATGGTATCTTTCAAACCTGTACTAAGTGACCAGGTACAATGGTATCTTTCAAACCTGTGCTACAGACCATTTCGAAACTATAGACGCGTACCTAGGCAAAAACCTTACGCCAGCATCTATACCACATAAAATCTGTGATCACTTTGTGCATAAATTTTTCCAAATTGGGCGTCTGTTATCCAATCGTTTAGAAACTATATCAGAGTAATTGTGGAGCGGTCCTGAGCAATATTCCGAAAAGTTGCAGCCAAATTTGAAATATTTCAAAAACCCTACGCGTCTATAGTTTTGAAATGGACTGTAAGACACCCAATGTACACACGGGGGCTGATCATACAATTTTATACCCAGCTTCCATTTTCGGATTTTCTTTTCCAGTAGAATAATTTTCCAGCTTCTTTCTCCTTCCTCATGCAGAAACAATAAGAGTTCAGTCATCTGCAAGCCAAGGAGAAGAATTCTCTTCTCCGGTTTGCTGATGTCTTGTCTCTATCTCTATACATGTAGTGTACACTTCTCCTGGAGAATTTTCTGGCTTGTTCCTGCTCGAGGGAACAAGAAGAAAAGAACACTTGCTCAACTCTGATTGGCTGAGGGCGGCTGACCAATCATTTCAGGTGTGAAGTTCAGAGCCAGGATGGGCTATAAAAGTACTCATTCCAGGAGGGCACTTGCTGAACTCTGATTGGCTGAGGATGGGCTATACAAGTAATTATTCCAGGAGGGGATGCATGAAGAAGGAGAACTCTTGTTGTTTCTGCATGACGAAGGAGAACTCTTGTTGTTTCTGCATGACGAAGGAGAACTCTTGTTGTTCCTGCATTGTTGTTTCTGTGTGAAGAAGGAGAAAGAAGCTGGAAAAAAGCCATCCCAAACCCCGACCACCATCCCCTCCTGGAATGATTACTTTTATAGCCTGTCCTGGCTCTGAACTTCACACCTGAGATGAACTCTGATTGGTCTCAAGCCAATCAGAGTTCAGCAAGTGTAGAAATAACAGTCATGGCTGTTGTTTCTGCGTTTCTGCATGAGGAAGGAGAACTCTTGTTGTTTCTCTGGTCTCAAGCCAATCAGAGTTCAGCAAGTGTAGAAATAACAGTCATGGCTGTTGTTTCTGCATTTCTGCATGAGGAAGGAGAACTCTTGTTGTTTCTGCATGAAGAAGGAGAAAGAAGCCGGAAAATTCTCTTGTTTCATGAAGAAGTAGAAAGAAGCCGGGAAAAAAATGAAGGAGAAAGAAGCCGGAAAAAAGAAATTTTAGCTTTTCTAACTTCTCTAAACTTAAAGCAGAAACAACAAGACTTCAGCCATTGCTGAGCTCTGCAAAAACAAAAAGTTCAGCCATCAGCAAGCCAAGAAGAAAACACTTGCTTGAACTCTGCAGAAACAACAAGAGTTCAGCCATCGGCAAGCCTAGAAGAAAACGCTTGCTGAACTCAACAAGAGTTCAAGAAGAAAACACTTGCTGAACTCTAAAGCAGAAACAACAAGAGTTCAGCCATCAGCAAGCCCAGAAGAAGTTGGATGGCCAGAAATTTCAGATTTTCTTTTCCAGTATAATTTCCCAGCTTCTTTCTCCTTCCTCATGCGGAAACAAGAGTTTGCCATCTGCAACTTATATGAGTTGCCATCTGCAACTTATATGAGTGGCATGGCGGATACATGTGTTGTACACATTTCTGTGTTTTCTGCAGCTGAGCAAACTGGAATCCGAGGTGGAGATTCGCAGCGAAATTACAGAACTTGAGAAGCTGCTCAGTGCACTATAACCACCCCAGAGACGTATAGTTGAGTTAGAATGCTTGATACTGTTCACACTCAGCTGGTGTTGTGCCGGTATGAAAGATGTATTTGTAAATTCTCTATGACGCTGGTCGTATCAACATACTGCTGGTGTCGTCGCGGTTGCTGTACATGAATTGTTTTAAACTGCCGCATGTAGGCGAGCTTTTGCTGTAACGTTGTTTTTATTTACTGTTGTTATGCTATCTGCGCTATTCTGCTTCTCAATTGCTGTGCTTTTTTGCCATATTTCATGTATTTACCTAGCTATTTTATTTTATTTCATTTGAAAACTGCATGATGATTGGAATCATAGGAAAGTAACACTGACTGGCCAAAGAGTTTTGATGGCACGTGTGTCAACATGACCGATGTATCGAATATAGCTGAAGTTGAAGAAAGCTAGAACACTTCAAAAAAATTATAAACCCACTCCCATGATCAGGATCATGCCTGCAAATTCTGGCCATCCCAAACACACTGGAATGAATACTTTTACCACCGCCACCAAAAGTTCGAACTTTCGAGTTGCTTAACGTCCCTATTCTCAGCCAATCCGAATTTTTTTCCTACACCGACTGTAACAGAGTGTTGTCGCCTGCATCATTAAACAAAACTTTAAATGGTGGAGAAACTGGAGAGAGATAACATCCGTTGAATGGTGAGAACTGTTGCAGCAGCTAAGTCTGGTGAATGATCACCATAACAACTAGGCCCTATAATTATTTGAATTTATTTCCATTAGAGGTTTTTTTATCACAGTGCACATACCCACTGCTCCCCTATTTGCCAGACTATCAATGCCTCAGCTCCACCAGCTGTACGTGCAACGTCTGCTTCTCTTCGTCTTCCGCTGCCTTCATGGCAGAGCCAGCTCACTGTTCCAATCCTACTACTCCCTCATTGCCACGGATGTGGACAGAAGTTGTGTCACGCGTGGTCAGGTCAGCCAGCTGCTCAGAGTGCCGTTCCTACCTGGTCCCTCAGGCCGTAGCTCTATCGCCTTTGTTGGCAGTACCACATGGAACTCTCTCCCTGCTGATATTCGCGCTTGCGACGTACGCCACACGTTTCAAGCATTGCTGTCTGGCTATGACCTCATCTCCCTCGTCAACTAGCTCTCCGATGTTGTGCCTACTATGTCTTCTTCACAGATTCTGCCTGAACAGATGCTCATCAATTATGTTCTTGTCCTCTATCCTAGTCCAAATCCTGCCTTGCCCATGCATGACTCTCATGAAATGCCCGTACTAAAATTTAATAGTCTGTAGAACAAGAATATTGTATATAATACTTCTCTCATCAACTATGATAATACCCATTTCATACCCCCCCCCCCTTCATAAAATTAATACCTACTGTTTTCTTTCCTTTCATTTCATCTTCTTTTCCGTTCCTTTCTTCTTCATACACATTTTAAACATTTTCATCATATTGTGAGAGCCGTGGGCCAACAGCCCCGGTGAGAAGGCAGTCTTGCCTGTTCATATGGTGAAGTAAAATAAAGAAACAACAACAACCTACGTGAGAAGGAGTACCATAGACATTCTTTAATAGCAAACAACGGTAACGCTATTTTTTACGGTACTCGTACCTTGATCACCCAAATAGCGTTGAAGCTGCAGCGTATAAACGTTATGGGGGCTGATTTATCGTTGTGACCAACGGTGCGTGTTTTGGCCAAATATTGCATAGTCCGTACGCATTTCACCTTGTATCGCGTATATGGTGACAAAAATGGTTGTACCGCGCGAAATCAAAGCTACTCTCGTGGCAACAGCGTACTAAAAATAGCGTGCATCTTGCTAAAGGTCGAACCCAAATCACGTTATTTTCCCCCTTACGATAATACCGTTACAACATAACGTTTTTTGCTAAGGGTGTCAAATGTACTAGTTACAAGACTAGAAATCTTAGATGTTCTTCTCGGATAGAATTGGCCGGCTTATTTCTCCTTCCTCAAGCAAAAACAAGAGCTCCGTGTGGCGTCCCACGGCAGCGGAAAGGCGGCTCCTGACCCGCCCTGTATGCGAACCGGTGCTATTTTTTTTTACAACAAGAATAATAATATTCGTGGGGTCCGCGTTGGCATCGCTTGAATGTTCAGAAACACACAACCAGACTGAGAATGAAAAAGTGAAGTACTAGCTAGATTACCTGTGTGTGGCTTGCATGCACTCTACCATGTACCAGGGCCTAGGGAGTGCACTCAGACCTCTCTTAACCACACACATCCGTTTTCCACAAAAAAATATCCGGATTGGCGCGGGAACCGGATAATCGAACACACATACTGTATGTATGCATGCATGACATATGCTGTAAATCGGTAACCAACGATTTTCTTCCGGACGGCGAGGGATCCGGATAAAAAGGGACTGGATAAGCGAGGTCTGAGTGTAGTAAAATATCGGTATTTTACTACTCCCTGCACTCCACTTGGACAACTAACTGTTACTTGCACTGCAGCAGCACGTTACTGTGTAATTCATCGCATTTTTTCAGTGACCCAGGCATGTGTGTAGTATTAAAATGTGATGGTGGTAGTGAGAACATCAGTATTGCTACAGTCTCCCACCCTGACAGTGTACACGCCAGGCATGATTCTCTGCTCTAAGTGTGTGTCGTGTAGAGACAAGTCCAGCCAGTCCACTGCACGACTAACTGTCCGCTTCTCGCCTGTACAAAAGTATGATATAAACAACGGGGTTCATGTCATACACAGACACACATGCACGTGCACACACCACCCACACACACACACACACACACACACACACACACGTGCACACACACACACATACACACACACACACACGTGCACACACACGTGCACACACACACACAGTTTGTTATTCGATGCCTAGAAAACATACAGTAGTTGTGTACAAACCAGGGAGTGGACTTACCACTCCTGGTACAAACATGGACACACCGGTGATAACTTGCGTGTATACAACAACAATAGATTTGAGTAGGAAAAAGATACGCAATGGGTCAGTCTTATCAGAGAGTACTGGAAAGCCGGATCAAGATCAAATACTTACGGTGTTTAGTTTGTTTGTAACTGTTATCTACATGACTGTACTGGCACATGATAGGTAGTTGCTGCATCCTCAACGTGACGCGGGGGTGGGGAGAGGGAGAGAGAGAGAAGCACGTGAGCGCAGCCGCCTTCACTACAAGCAATATAATTATTTCAAGCTTATTGAAACAAACCCTGCTCCCGCGGTCAGAATAGTAGGGGCAGTCTTTACACCCAATTAAAGGACCATGCCCGACAAATACACATGTTTTAGGTTACATTGTACTTTAGAGTTCCTGTTCAGTTGCGCACAAGCTCCTTTCCCATGTTCACAAGAATTAGCTCACCTTTCTTGAGGAAGACTTTGTCGAACGCAATCAAACGCTTCCAGTACGGTACCCATGGCAACACTGGATCTTGAACGTAAAACTGAACTACCTGTGTAGCGTCGCGGTCGCCGGTATTCGTGATGTCAACGGCAACCTGCAAACACAGGGAGAGCAGACGATTGTCACGGGGCGGGATTGCACCGTGAAGTGTTGCGCTCTTCCACCCATGGCATTCAGCCATGGCTATCAGTCTGAGCAAGAGTACATAACCCCCAAGAGTGTGCAACTGCCTGCACAACCTCTATGCTGTGCTGCGACGACAGAACTTCACATCACGTGACATGGTTCAAAAGGTTATACTGGCAAACAGTGCAAAGTGATCACAAGAGAGTTGTACCCAAAGCTGGGCTGCGTACAACCCAGTATCTATCATGCACAGAGTGCAAATAATGTGTACGGGTTCATCACGTGATGTCAAGTTCTGCCGTGGCAGACCCCATAGCTGGAGTTGCACACTCTTGGGGTTATGTACTCTTGGTCTGAGTCAAGTACTAACTATTACTTACTTATCATGACCAGGGAGTCGGTATTTTACGACTCCCTCACATGACAAGCTCAACTTCTACATAGCACACTTGCAGTTGTGCTCGGTGAAATCCAACCCAGAGAGCGTATTTGGTGCCCTCAACTCGAACTAGCACGCCCTTCCTTGACGCCCTGGAACAGGAAAGTGGCATGAATGCGGCTAGGCTGGACGTACTCAGGTACACATACTCCAGTACAATGATGTGATCGGAACTACCGTATTTCCCCGTAAGTTAGTTCTCCCCAATGACTTAGTACCCCTTATAAAAATACACTTTCCACTGCCGAGGTTATCACCCCGAAAGACAGTTCCCCCCGAAAGATAGTAAGTCCGTACCCGTCCTACATGTACAGACACCGTACAGTACATACACCATATGCACGGACACTAGAGTTGCGCAGGCTTCCCACTGCGTGCCATTTACCCCCATAAAAAAGTACTCCCCGAAAGATAGTACCACCGCCGAAAGTTAGTACTCATGTGGCTGCTAAGTTCGAAAGGGAAAATACGAAAAAAAATACGGTAGTCCAGGGCGCCAGCTTTGCACTTCGGGGCGGATTTCACCAAGCGCAACTGTGCTTGGAGAGCATGGCTGGCAATATAACACTAGAACACTAAACTAAACTTCAAAGTGAAGTATAATGCTGATGCCTTGCTCGGTGGCATGATAGCATGATCAACACCACGCACCGTGTTTTCCTGCTGATTGCGTTACAAGCATGAAACGTGGAGTGATAACACCAATGGCATTGCTGCATTGTGGCATTGTACGCGCGGCAGACTTGACCTTTGCAGTGGCAGACTTGACCTTTGCAGTGGCAGACTTGACCTTTGCAGTTGCAGACTTGACCTTTGCAGTTGCAGACTTGACCTTTGCAGTTGCAGACTTGACCTTTGCAGTGGCATACTTGACCTTTGCAGTGGCATACTTGACCTTTGCAGTGGCATACTTGACCTTTGCAGTGGCAGACTTGACCTTTGCAGTGGCAGACTTGACCTTTGCAGTGGCAGACTTGACCTTTGCAGTGGCAGACTTGACCTTTGCAGTGGCAGACTTGACCTTTGCAGTGGCAGACTTGACCTTTGCAGTGGCAGACTTGACCTTTGCAGTGGCAGGTTCTTCTTACCCTATCAGTGTATGAGAGAGCTACCACCGGTTGAGGTTGAGGTTGAGGAAGTGTGAAAACGTTTGGTGGAGATGGACAGTCTTACTGGTATTGAGCCTCCATTGAAGCATCCACATGCTAGAAGCAGACTACAGCTGGTGTTAACATACTTTAGATCAGTCAAGTTTAACCCCCCCCCCCCCACACACACACCACACACACACACACACACGCACATACAACACACACAACACGCACACACACACACACACCACTACTACTACTACTACTACTACTACTACTACTACTACTATGATACAGCTACCCTAAACGGGTCACGCCGCCCTCCACCCAAGCATGAGCACTATGAGGGGCAGTGGCAAATAAAGAGGATCAGCTAGCAGAACTGGCAAAACAGATGAAACAATGGAGCAGAACAGACGGCTGCTATACTGTAACAACAACCTGACAGCTACAGTGACAACGACTGAAAATGAACAGGAAGGAAAAAAAATTCAAAATTTCACGTCACGAAAAAACACTGTCCACGAAAGAATCCACCAAGCAAAAGGAGTGTGGGCATCCGAAATCCCACCAGGACTCCACTAGCAGTTCTTCCACGTTGACGATGTAAGCGGCAGGGCAAGGCCTCACAAATCCGACAGACTTCCACAACGCTTGACCAGTGCACTCATGACGACGAAAGATTGAAGTTTCAATTCCCACCATTCCGCCATTGGGACCTTCCTCTCCGCACTCGCTCGTCCACTCCACTGAAAACAACGAGTTGTTCCAGCACTCCACCAGCCAATCCGCAATTCCCACCACTGCATTCTTCGAGCTTGGATTCTTCACAGCACTCGAGGGACAGCTACTCCACTGCGAGTGGTGGACCACGGCCGACGCAGCAGTGACAATATCGAAGTAAATTGTCCTGCAAGCTACATCGCGATTCCGCGCTCCAATCATGCAGCACTACCTTGGCAGTGTGCGAGGGTGCTCCAGGGTCGACTCTGGCTACGCCAGAGTCGCCCTGGGCAGGCAGAAAACTTGGGAGAAAGCCAAGAACACGGAGCTCAGAAAGTGTAACCTGCTCCCAAGGAGCACAAAACAACACGCACACACACACACACACACACACACACACACACACACACACACACACACACACACACACACACACACACACACACACACACATACTTTTGAAGTACAACACACGCAACGCACACATGACTGTGATGTTACTCACCATTAGTGGAGCTTTCTCATCTCCTGTCTTGGTGGCCTTGAGTGCGTCAAACTTGAACTCAGACAATGACAAGCCATAGCCAAACGGGAAGAGAGGAGTGGACAGACTTCCCTTGTAGTCGTCATAGCGTCGTCCGTCTGGGTCTACCGTTTGTCCGCGTGCATTGGCTACCCATTTACCACGAATCTGCTGTAGCCAAGGACTTGATGCCCCATTCACCTGTGCAGTACATCACACCATCCAATGCGCATTCATCTTATGAGCAGCTGGAAAGAAAAGAAAAGCATTGAATTGTTCTTCAGTGGATCCGACTGCCATGTTGTTGTCCAGTGCTGCAGCAGACAATTGCAATGGTTTCACTTAGGGGTGAAACAATTATACCGAATACTCGAGTACTCGCTCGGTTTTTTCAAAAATAATCGTACTCGGAATAAATCAGAGTACTCGTTCATACATGGTACATGCATTTACCACAGAAATCTGCGGTTTCAGAGCAGCAGTCGGCAGATATTGATGTGCAGACGGTGTGGTGAACATTTGTTCACGAGTAGAGAGAGCCCAAATGACCCACCAACCACTATACCCGAGAAAAATGACTGCCACTCGGTTCAATCAGGGTTGTATCATGTGATTTTAAGGCCCTTGGTGTGCAATTTTTAGGAGATGAAGAATACTCGAATACTCGAATATTCGATCAGAGAAAATCAGAGTACTCGAACTCGGGATCTCAGTGCCAACTTTCACCCCTAGTTTCACTGAAGAAGAATACTCGTCCAATATGGGCGTACCTGTCCCACATTCCTTGGCCATCCCTGTGCCAATCGTCCCGTTGGTTCAGCGTGGCCAAGAATAGCGTCACCAATTGCAACACCACCCATCTGCCCCGACCTCCACGCAATCAACACGTAGTCAGCCATGTCCAGTACTGCATTCCTACACACGGCGCGCAAAGAAGCAAGGAACAGGACAGGCAAGGCAAACACATGTATCGTACAGCATTAATGTATGCAAGCGCCTCAGCGGCAGGCAGCCAACACACCTATGCCGGTTGCAGTGCATACCACTCTGGGGAACAGCTCACGTATCACCTAAACGGCCATTGGGATGATTTTCACGGTTTTGCTTTTGTTTTTGTTTCCCCTTTTTTCTGTACACTGCAGTAACATTTTTTAATGCTATCGGTTTGTTAGGACACTAGTACTGGAAACATCAAAGGATAAGAAGTTAAAAACCCTGCCAGGTATACATGACAAAGCAAATCAGGCTTTCAAAAGCCAGTGGAACAGTTTTAGACGAATGGATGGTAAGTTCAAAAAGTAAAGTTTCTAAACGTTTCCTCGGTCTGTCCTTACTTGTCACCGAACGTCACCGGTCCCCCGCTCGTCACGACAAGAATGATTTTTGCCTTGGTTACATTCTTCACTTGTTCGATGAGTTTCAGCTGGCCACCAGGAAGGTCCAGCGAGTCACGATCATGCCATTCGCCATAGGACATTAGAGAATCTCCGACCACCTGAACGAATAGGAGAGCATGCAACATCAGCAGCAATCGACTATGCAATAACACATACATGTACATGTACATGTACATGTACTGCAAAGTTGGTAGTAAATAAATAAGCCTCTTTTAGAGATCCTACTCTGGTTCTGCCCGTACTAGTAGTAGTAGAATCCTAAAGGACGTTTTGGCTCTTCGTTGAGCTCATTTAGTTATTACACATAGACACTCAGTGTCTTTCCACTCGGAAACAATTCTCCTCATACTTCAGTAAGAATCATTATCATTAGTATCAGAGATACTCGAACTCGTGACTGTCCTCTAAGAAGTAATGGTGAGGAAGCGTCTACATCACGACGGCTGGGGTAGATATTCCCACCAGCCGTACGCGACGCAGAAAATGCTAGTGTCAGGATAAGGACAGCGTTGAGGCGAATAGAGACATACCGTAGAAGTCTCCGGTAAACGAAAGCAATACAACGGGAGAAGAAGAAGACTGTATAACCATAAACGGGACAAGTCATGGCAGTAAGTATAGAACTAGAAAACAAATGGGAACAGGGTTGACTTGACATAAAACGTACATGTAACAATAAATCGTAGTGTTGTCCGACGGTAACACACAGTAGCAATAAATACTAGAAATGCATCGAAAGTGCAGCTGTCAAATCAGAGACAATGTACAGAGTGAAGACGTATGCAATATCTAACAGCCTCTTTACAAATGCTGTATGCACTGCTCTTTCCATTATTTTCTTCCTATGCAAGTCGCAACTCCTGTTTTGAGTTGTTTTTCTTCTCTCTTTTTCTTTCCCTACTAGTTGCTGTTACACTCACTGATCCCTATGCACAGATATACAGCATTCCCTCACTATACTAGTGGACCATTGTTATTAGGCTAGGGCCTGTTTTGGACTTCCCACTCTAAATGAAGAATACAAACAACAACAAACAACAATACCATGCTCGTACCCGTACCAAGGGACTGTGTCGGGGAGATGTGTTATATTTGTGATGGCTCTAGCCTTGTTTCACCAATGCTGATATGCAACAATGTTTTACTCCTGAACTAACATACAAAGCTATGACGTTTATGCGTACGGAGGAACATCGTGTAGAAGAGACGTTACACACAGTGCAGTCAAGCCAATGTGCAACGTACCACCAAGATGCAAACTCCGTCCCAAGCTAATGCATACGAGTATCCAAGGTCAAATGACTGCTACACCATTTTATGCAGGATCCTCAAAACCGTACTTTATACGTCTATAGCCCTTGAAACCTGTTTTACGATGACAGCTTGTCACAAGGACACACTGTATGGAAAACAGTGTTCCTGACTGAAGCCATAAACCGGTAGGTATAGAGTCTCGGTCTTGTGGCCATACGAACCGTATGGGGCCCGCTTTTATCCTTTAGAATAGTGTGTTATATGATTATATATCCAGGATATTCTAAAGCTTCACTGTACTCACCACCACAACGTGAGTAGCGTTTGCAGCCAATTGAAGTGCCTTCTCCAAGTCCGCCGTGCTCGAGTTGCCAATCTCGCAGCCTCTAGAGTAGGCCACACGCCCCGTCGAGCCGTTGACTTTCTCCTTCAGATACGTGGCCACTGTCTTAATGTCGACGTCGCCGTACTGGCTGTTGGGGCCGGCCATGTTGGTTTGGGCATCGCAGTGCGAGGCAGCTGAAGATGAGCGTGATGGAGAGGATACAGACTGTGCATACTCTGCTCCATGCTCTAAGTTGACGCCAGCCAGTTCACCTATCTCAAATGAGCTCTCTTCATCCGGGCACCCGCCATTGGGCCCCAAAACGGCAATGTACGCATCACCGGTTGATGCAATCGGCGGCCATTGTCCAGTGGGATATTTGGCAATGGTCATGCCCTGGAGTGCTGCCTCGTACGCCAGCATCTGGTGTTCCGGCGTGTTGAGAACAGAGGGAGCTGTGTCATTGACCAGTGGTTCATCAAACAACCGCAGAGCTGCGCAACAACACAACACGTTGGACAAGAAGGAGAGCAGAGTTAAGCAGCATTCACAGCCAAGGGTCTTGGACTTCAGATAGTTGTATATTTGGCAGCCGCAAGTTTCCAATCACATTTGACGATCATTGCATCTGATAAGGAACATTTCGTTGGGCTGGTTGACACTGCTCCAGCAACAGACACGCACACACACACACACACACACACACACACATGTGTGGGCGTGCACACACACACACACACACACACACACACACACACACACAAACACACACACACACACAAACATATGTGAGCGAGTGCACACACAAGCAGCGATCAAATCAACATTCATGGACTCACCAAATTTCCCTGCGAGAATATGTCCTGCAGCAGTGTCGATATCGGATACCGTGATGAGCCCATCACTGAGGGCATCCCCCAGTCTATTGTAGCTATGCAGTGATGGATCATGGCCACACATCGAGTCTATGTCAACGCCACCTTGGAGACCCTGAACAAACCGTTGAAAACACATATTTCTTTAAAGGGGAAGTTAAGCCTAAAATCATAATTTCACCAGTTGTAGTCTTCGCGGTGCAGAGTCGAATGGTCTTGGTCCAAGGAAGCTGAGACGCTCCCTTCCTCCTTTATGCCCAATCAAACTCACAACTTCCACCGAAACTGGGTGACTGCGCCCTACTAGATGGGGATTTGTATGCAAAATGTCACTAAAAGCGCCATTTAATTCTTATAAAAGCATGGATGACAGCGATTGGCCCATATGTTATTCTTTTGGACGCCGAGTCGACTTGTCTTGATCCGAGAAGGCAGTGAACTTGGTTGAATAAGCGGTCACGTGCTCATGCGTACACTAGTCACCTGGTCACCGTGCCTGCAGGCTACAACTTTCACACCAAGGTTCAACTCGAGTTCAACTCGAGTGACAGGATCGCGCCCAAACAGGCTGTTTGTTGTACCCTTCAGGCACAGTGACCAGGTGACTGGTGTATGCATGAACACGTGACCGCTTATTCAACCATGCTCGATTGGAAATAAGAGCCAAACGAACGCTACATCGTAGCATTCTCGGACCAAGACCGGTTGACTCAGCGTCCAAAGACTACAACATATGGGCCAACCGTGGCCATCCGTTTACTACCTTTGCGGCCGCTTGCGTAGCATTGGCTGCAATTCGGTACTGTGCAAGGACGGATATGTCGTTGCAATCACTCGTAATACTGCCATTACCTGCAGCCAGCAAACACACCATAAACACATCACACACACACACACACACACACACACACACACACACACACACACACACACACACACACACACACACACACACTCAGACTCAAACTCAGACATGCCCATCACGGAAGCGATGAAAGCGAACAGCTATGTTAGACATAGCAACTTTTGCTGGGATTACACCATTCAACAGCTTGCAGGGCTGATGAATTGACCGCCACTAATTTTAGCCTGGTATCCACCACACAGTTGATTGAAGTGGCTTTTTCTGGCCAGTGACTCCCTATTTTTTCACACATACACACACACACACACGCATGCACATGCGCACACTACTAGTTAACGAAATACACCGTATGGATTTGTATCCATATGTGGCAGTGCAATGCCTCGCACAGCTAAAGCACATGAATGGCATGATGCATAATATCTACAATTATTATCTACAAGGTAACATGGCACCAGATGCATGTATATGCACAAGTCATGGTTTGACCGTGACCGGCATTCTACTTTCTCACACAAACTGCCTCTACTGTACTGCCTAGCCCGGCTTAGTCTTAGTCAGGTTCAGTCAGGCAAGAATAGCAAGGCTCATCACACGCAAGCATACACTGTGTCATTGTTTACTGTCTAGTACTTACCGAACCCAAATGTTTCTCTTAAGATGGAATTGACCAAATACGGGTTGCCATGGCATGGTAAATGATTCACAGTTTGATGGCTGGCCATCGCTCCTCTGCCACCATGCATGGCAAATGCTTGCCATGGCTGAGAGACAACACACAAATGAACATCGGAAACACAAGAGAGTATAACACCACTGTGAATTCCACATATGGGTCAGTGAAGAATCATATAATTCCACATATGGGTCACTGAAGAATTATATAATTCCACACATGGGTCACTGAAGAATCATATAATTCCACATATGGGTCACTGAAGAATCATATAATTCCACATATGGGTCACTGAAGAATCATATAATTCCACATATGGGTCACTGAAGAATCATATAATTCCACATATGGGTCACTGAAGAATCATATAATTCCACATATGGGTCACTGAAGAATCATATAATTCCAAATATGGGTCACTGAAGAATCATACAACACAAAACAGCAATACCTATACTTTCGGCTTCGATTTCTGCTTTACATTACCAGCGATGACATCATCCTTGTTGCGAGCCTCCGTATACTCAAGAGGCAATAGATGTCCATTCATAATGCGTGCCAACTTGCCTACTGCTTTGCTAGGAGTTTCTGTACCTTGAGATAGATATCAAACAGTGTTTGCATGTCGAAATGAGACGGCCCGGCGTTTTGCCCGCCGGCCGCGTTTCCATACGCAGCATAGTGCTTGGCCAGTGACACGAAATGTTTGCTATGATCCAAGTATGACAAAGGTCCCGTGCCGTTGTCACCTATAGTGGTCGGCAACAAAGAAAATAAATATTAATGTTGGAAGCAGAAAAAGTGTTGGCCGGATATCCAGCCCTCTCTAAAGTACACACAAGTATCAAACTACATTCCACTAAAATGATGTAAAATCATTCGCGGTTCGCGTGAGACTCTGCTACAGGCCCAGTTTTTCGTAACCGTAGGAATGCCATCACCCTGCAAAGATCTAAGGCGCAGATGCAGCTCCTGAAGTGGTGGGAGGCGAGTAGATCAGACCCACCAAAAGTGTTAACTGTGGGTCGCAGCACGGCTGGAAAATAATCCTTCCGCTTCCAAGCAGGACTTGAGCGTGCTGCCCTCTATTTTCTAATCATGGTCTTAGACCCGCATCCCATTATGCCTGTCTGCACCCCACTGGATAAGTAACACACAAGATGTAGGCAGGCATGGCAATGATGGAGAACACACATGACCTTCTTTTCCGGACACAGGGCAGAACAATTCCAAATCTGACCATTTCTGTTCAAGAATTCTACTCTGAAGCATGATGCCCATCATCATGACATCATAATTATAATTATGGCGTGCTTGGAAGAACTTGAATTCTTATGCGCGGTAGAAAGTACCGGAAGTCGCTAGCTTTGCGTGCCAAGCCCTCTTCATTCACCTTCACCTGTAGCAGGGGCAAATCCAGAGATCTCTACAGGGGGGGGGGCAGTTTTCCCAAAACTCAATAGCTGATACATGTACATGCGCATGGTTTCCAATAGTACATTTGTGAATTTTAGGGGGTTCGAAGGTTCTGCAAAGTAGAGCGGCAGTAGGGCGGCACAACGCAGAAAAGTGTATGAAGAATGCAAAGCAATGTAAAAAGAAGGTGCGGTGGATAATATAGGAACACAAAGCAATGCAAGAGAAAAATTGAACGCAACGGCGGAGGTGGATAAAATGAACGCAATGGTGAAGGTGGATATAATGTGAATTGTGAAAGAAGGTGAGACTGTCCAAAGGAAGACGTGGTTATAAGCTTATTTCAGTACTATTAAAGGAGTACCTCAGACCAATGGAGTCTAGAATGGTGGAGCAGTCTCCTATCAGTAGAATGTTTGTGTGTAGGTGAAAACAACTAGGGGTGTAAAAAGAAGCAGCCGGGTAGGTGTGATTCTCAGACATGTTGAGGTGACTAGCCAGGCTTTTCGTCTTTTACCAGGCGATAAATGGTGCCTGGCCCAAAATGGTGTCAAGTTTGTGTTTCATCCACAAGGTTTTTTACACCTTACTTAGATCGGTTAGACCTGGATGATATGGGAGTATGAGTGGCGGTGTGGTGTTGTTTTTTAGAGCGAGTGGGTCGTTTGCGATGAGTAGAGGATATGGCTGCGTTAACTACTGACGTGGAGTAGCCACGTTCGATTAGTTTAGCTGCTAGAGAGGAACGAGTACCAAAAGAGGTGGCTTCGTTCATAGATCCTCTATCCGCTCTGATCATCTCCCCAGGTGCCATTGCCTTCCAAGTATGGGATGGGTGGGATGATCCGGGAGAGATATATTGGAATTTGTTTGTTCGTTTAAGGTTAATTTTGGATTCAATTATTTAAAAATGAATACAGGTTGGGATGTCAAACTATTAGAATGCATGTAAAGTGAAGTCCATGTCCCGACCGGTTTCGCTGTCTATAGCTCATCAGGGGACGCTTAAAAAGAAAGCCGTGGACTAAAAATTAAAAAGGTGAGTACTTTTACATTGGCGGCCTCAGCACAAGTCCATACATACACTCACGCATTTTCGCCAGCACAAGTCTAGGTCCTCTGCCGAACCAAAACCAACCCAAAAACCCACTATGTTCCAAACATAGGGTTTTGTAGTTGTCAGTTGTTATGCCAACAGTAGTGGAGCTTTTATCCGCTCTACACACCACAAGATTGGTGTTACGAAGAGTTAGGAGGGCTTTTAGTTCAGGTGGTGTGAGATTGTTATTTGTGGGTTTGGGTTTGTAGTTTTGTAGAGTAATGCCAGAGATTGAAAAAAAGTGCAGCAGAACTAATTTTCAACGAATCTAAAAACACCACACAGGTCACGATGATCGGGGACATTGAAATCTCTGACACCGCCCGCGACATCCTAATCTCGATCTTAAATTCGTTCCTCGCACTAACACTCTCCCACACAAATCCTGGGCAGATAATGTCCCTAGATTTCTGCGTAATCTACACGTCCATGCATACTTCATGGATCAGCCACGCGCTAAAAATCAATATTCTAGAATTTTGCCAAATCTAATTGGACACCACCGCTCAACCCTATTCCTATCGAACTTATTGAGTTTAGTATGCACCCTGGCACTACTCTACAAAACTACAAACCCAAACCCAGAAATAACAATCTCACACCACCTGAACTAAAAGCCCTCCTAACTCTTCGTAACACCAATCTTGTGGTGTGTAGAGCGGATAAAAGCTCCACTACTGTTGGCATAACAACTGACAACTACAAAACCCTATGTTTGGAACATAGTGGGTTTTTGGGTTGGTTTTGGTTCGGCAGAGGACCTAGACTTGTGCTAGCGAAAATGCGTGAGTGTATGGACTTGTGCTGAGGCCGCCAATGTAAAAGTACTCACATTTCTAATTTTTAGTCCACGGCTTTCTTTTTAAGCGTCCCCTGACGAGCTATAGACAGCGAAACCGGTCGGGACGTGGACTTCACTTTACATGCATTCTAATAGTTTGACATTCCAACCTGTATTCATTTTTACATAATTGAATCCAAAATTAACCTTAAACAAACAAACAAATTCCAATATATCTCTCCCAGATCATCCCACCCCTCCCATACTTGGAAGGCAATGGCACCTGGGGATATGATCAGAGCGGATAGAGGATCTATGAACCACCTCTTTAGGTACTCGCTCCTCTCTAGCAGCTAAACTAATCGAACGTGGCTACTCCACGTCAGTAGTTAACGCAGCCATATCCTCTACTCATCGCAAACGACCCACTCGCTCTAAAAAACAACACCACACCGCCACTCATACTCCCATATCATCCAGGTCTAACCGATCTAAGTAAGGTGTAAAAAACCTTGTGGATTAAACACAAACTTGACACCATTTTGGGCCAGGCACCATTTATCGCCTGGTAAAAGACGAAAAGCCTGGCTAGTCACCTCAACATGTCTGAGAATCACACCTACCCGGCTGCTTCTTTTTACACCCCTAGTTGTTTTCACCTGCACACAAAAATTATACTGATAAGAGACTGCTCCACCATTCTAGACTCCAATGGTCTGATGAGGTACTCCTTTAATAGTACTGAAATAAGCTTATAACCACATCTTCCTTTGGACAGTCTCACCTTCTTTCACAATTCACATTTCACAATTCACATTTTATTCACCTTCACCATTGCGTTCATTTTATCCACCTCCGCCATTGCGTTCAATTTTTCTCTTGCATTGCTTTGTGTTCCTATATTATCCACCGCACCTTCTTTTTACATTGCTTTGCATTCTTCATACACTTTTCTGCGTTGTGCCGCCCTACTGCCGCTCTGCTTTGCAGAACCTTCGAACCCCCACCCCCCCCCCCCTTGGATCCGCCACTGTGTAATTTTACTGTCGACCAGTAGGACCTGTGTTCTCACCTTGGTATCCTGCAACCGCGGCCTTGGCGTATGCTGCCGACAAGGTTGGGTTCTCAGAGAAGCCTTCAGAGTGTCGACCAAATCTAATTGCCAACACAGAATGCCAGAGAGTCACCACAAGCATGCTTCCACATTCAACAAGCTAGTCTACACCACACCTGTCAAGTACTGAGAGTGCTCTTTCTGGATCACCAGGGCAAAATCAGTGGATTTGCCTTGATTTTTCGGGATATACCATACTTTTTTTTCCAAAATTCCGTTTTCAACTTTTAAATGATGACACCAACATTAAATTTTATGACACCGGGTGATGATATATGCATGTACATAGCATTTTCCACATGTTCGAGACTCAAAGAGGTTTGGAGATTGTTCATGGTAGGAGTACTAGAAAATCCACTGGTTCTACAGCTATGGCGGTACAGAATCAACAAGGACAGCTAGACACAGTCACTTGAACTGGAAGTGCTCCAAGAACAAGATCAAGATTTTGCTTCGTGTGACAGTGATTTCCGGGATAATCGACAGGAATTTCGGGATCGCGGGAGTTCACCCAAAGTTGCGGGATAATCCCGAAAATCGGGATGCTTGGCAGGTATGCTACACCAAGCCATATTTCCGCTAGTTTGAAGTACTTCAGTACAAACCTGCCCCCAGGGTTCATACCCCAGGAACACGCAGTCAGCATGTGCCAGTCCATAAGCACCAACTCATCAACCCACTTCCACCAGGTGCTCCAGATTGCATCAGGAGATCTTTCCCATTCACCGCCTCATCGGTGAACGGTACTGCCTACCCTCCTACTCTCTTCCGGCAAGAATTACCGTTGAAGAGTATGCCTGCCTTCAAGGCAGCTGCCTGGAAGCACCTTCGCCAGAAGGACCGGCTGTGGGCCATAGACAGCAACTAAGATCAACTAAGAACCATAACACTGTACACACGCCTTACACCTGTATTTGATTTTCTACTTTATGGTGCGATTTTAGTACTACATTCCTCTCCCCCTCAACCCGCCCTCACCCCTTCCTGGTACGCGCATCCGGTGCTGACTCCGAGACCTCTGGTCGGACTAGCTGGACTCGGGAATTGGATGGAAATTGTATTCAGGTAGTAGATTAACACTGGCTGCGTGACTATCTACTGCATTGTCAATGTTGGCACTGCATTGCTGTTCTCATCATCAATAGGACCCAGTCTCTCTATAACACCTAGTCAGTAGTCAGTAGTCGGAATGATTTCGGAAACTAATTTCTGATGGTGGGTTTCCACGGCTTCTAAACAGTTCATCACCCTCTCCTCTCCCTCTCCCTTGAGTGTTTCAAAGCACATTGTGCACAAACACACCGGCGAGGCAAAGACATTGTCCTTTTGGTAGGCTCATGCACTTGCTCAGGATCGCCTAACAGAGACCCATATGATAAGTAGACAGTTTCCTCGGAGACAAGAACGCAATATGCTTTTTAAGTGTTGGTGCCAGTCTTCCTCTATTTGAGGGGCAGTTTCTTTTTGCATCATGTCTTTGTTCGAGGAGACATCATGCCAGCAAATGTCACCTTCCAACGTACATGGTTTCCGCTAAAGAAACGGCTGGAATAGACGAAGTCACTTTTGAGAGATTACTTCGAATAATCGGGTTAATTTGAGTATAGTATTATTTCCTTCTGAACTTCAACTTAATAAAAAAAAACATGTATTACAAGCCGTGCACAAAATAGGATGTCTGTGGTAGAGTCCATCTAGTGATCCATACAGTGCTCCTCAATGAAATCTGATTGCGCGAGTCAAGTTTGCACCGTGCACCAGTGCCCAGCGCAGTCGTTCACATATATAGGGCTGCACAGTGCCTGGCAAGCACTTGACACGTGGCGTCGGATTTCATTGAGCAGCATTGTACATGCAGTTGTTGTACTGACCTGGGATCAGTGAACATGTTCAGTACTGGTGTGAGCCCTATGTCCACACCCACACTGCTTGCCTCCAGTGCTATGCTAGAGGCTATCATGGTGACCAGTGAAGTGTTCCAGGTGCAACCTGCATGATAATAGCCAGTACACAGTGCAGCAGCCACGAAAGGACGGCATTACGGTGAATCATAAGCATCACAAGCAGCATCTTTCACTTAAAATAATAAAATAACCAGTGGTTGGAATGTATGATGTGCAGAGCCATAGCACCCAGTCCGTCCCTGCCAGGCCATGGTCGGACCTTAGTGGGGCCATGGTCGGACTATGGCCAGACCTTATTTCAATAAAAGTTGACCCCCATTTTGCACAAAGCAGGGTTTCCGTCAATGATATTCATTTCTGGTGAAATATCCCATTTGACGGGACTACCTGAAATCCCGGTGCTACGGCCAAGAAATGATCATTTTTGTCACATATTTTCAATGACCACTACACATTCAGCACGTTCAGATCCAAAGAATAAATGGAATCACGGTTCGTATGGCGGTAAAGACAGTCGGATTGACTTTTCCGCATCTGAAGAAACGCCACCACCCTCCAGGATCAAGGTGTGAAAGCAGCTCCTAGGCGGTAAGAGGGTAATCGATCAGCCTCACAACACTACATGCGGTCACTGAAGCAAGGTGGCAGCTTGACTCCCAGGGTGTGCATACACAACATTGCACTGCTGCATCATGTTTAACTGCAAGTACTCCGCGATCCTGTCCTACCTTGCAGTACAGGTGTGGGGAATACCGTGCCGCCTTCAACAGAACTGTGAAGTGACTCCTCGGTGAAGGCAAGGGGCAAGTGCAACCTTGAGCTGCATGTCGCGTGACCCAGGCACACATACCCACATACAGCAGAGATAGTCATTGCAACCCGGGTGTTTCATGCTTCCACACCTGCAGTGCCCTGCTCGGCAAGTATGAATATGATCAGAATATATTTCATAGTTTATCTCTGCCTTGCCGATAAACGTGAAACGCTGTCAAAGTTCTCCCTAAAAAGTTGTACCGCCCCAGCTACCTCAACCAGAATACAGTGTGGATGATGATCAAGGGAGCACACAGTGCTACAGTATTTTGTTTGTAATCATATCATGTACCTATTGGATTTATAGTTCAGCTCTGACACCAAATTTCATTACAATTCACAGCACGTTGACATGCACGACACATTGGCACACGCTTCCTGCTCTGAAAAGCTGGCCGTATATTCAGTTGCTCCTTTGCACAGCTTCGACACTGACCCGATGATGGTGAAATGCCGGAATGTTGCCAAAATCTACACTAAAACAGTCCTCAGTGTTGCGCAGAGTGATGAAAACAAGCCTGTCAGCTCAAACACCTTCCTACTTACAAAGCAACTGCATGCATCCTCACCGGCCTTACTTCTGCAACAAACATACCTCCAGCATTGATCCTCTCCATTGCTCTCGTAACATTCAAATGTGGAAAGAAAGTAGTTTTGATGAAGCACGTTGCAACATGCTTGGAAAGATGGCACACTCGGCATGCTTGGAAAGATGGCACACTCGGCATGCTTGGAAAGATGGCACATTCAGCATGCGTACAACTAGCCTGTGATGTCCCCCCTCAGTGTTCTGACCTTTGCATGATCTTGCTCTGCATGTCATTGCGCTTCTGTGCTGAGCCAGGAAACACCGTCCAGCCAAGTCCTGTTTTGGAGTACTCTTCACTGCAACAACGATGATAGTAATAGCAGAATATTGATGTGTTCTTTAGCTTGAGGGAGTTAAAAAAAGTAAATTATCGTGTCCGTTCCCAAAGGGAACTCACGACGGCCGCTAACACCCAGTAAACCCTAGCGGCAGATGCAGCGCCTAACGGTGGGGGTGAGTGGATAAGTCTCACAACCACTGGCACAAGTGCCGAGAAAGACCCCATTAGCCGCATCCATGTACCCCTTGTGCCTGGCCACAAGTTCCCAGTTGACTGTGGGTAGCAGCACGGCTGGAAAAACCGCTCCCAGGCAGGACTTGAACCAGGTACCTCTCGTATCTCAATTATGGTCTTTGACAAACCCACTTTGCCTGCTGTTTTTGTGGTTTGAGGGAGTTGAACTGGGGGAAAAAAACGAAGGAAAAATGGACAATAATCGGCACCAGGACTCAAACATGGGACCTTTTGCTATAGTCTAGCAAAGCTGTAAAACTATTGGCTATGGTATAGCCGTCGTCCCAGCAGAGACCGTTCAACATTTTCCTCACCTCGAAACCCATGATAAAATTACAGTGATCTGTAAGCAGTATTATACAATGCTTCACTGAGGAAGTGCCTAAGGCCCACCTACAGGGCATCGTGGAAAAAGCCTGGCAATGTTTGTCTCCGTTCCCCAAGGGAACGCACAGTGGCTGCTAACACCTGGAATAACCCAATAGCAGATGCAGCAGCGCCTAATGGTGGAGGTTAGGGGGCAGGTCTCGCAACTACTGGCACAATTGCCGAGAGCCCCATCAGTCACATCCATATACCCGGCATTGTGCCAGTGGCCACAACTTGCACAAGTCACAGCTGACTGTGGGCAGAAGCAGCACGACTGGCCAAACCGCTCCCAGATATAGGACTTCAACCAGGTGCCTCTTGCTGCTCAAACATGGTCTTAGACTCGTCTACTATGCCAATGACACACATTGTGGTCTTCCCAGACTCAAATGTGTAAATGCCGCATACATATGTACAGTACAGCATATCAACTCCAAACATGGCGTCGCTTCCAGCCTGGAGTTCCATGGAGGAACAGGCTTTGGCTATCTAAGCCAAAGCTCCCTGCCCGCGAGTTACGACCATTGCCAGTAAGTTACTTCCACAAGTTCCAGACCTTCAATAGTGAACCGTCATGCACATTATATGTCAGCAGACCTACCTGAAGTACACACAAAGACAAGAACGCTGGTTGGCCTTCCTTACCCAATGTCACCCATCAGGTAGATAGCGGCCAGTTGGGCAATTTTCTCCTCGGTCGTCATCTTGGACAGCAGGTCAGTGACACGCTCTTGGATGGGTGCGCTTGGGTCCATGTACCCAGCCTGAACTGGCCGCCCAGGAGGACGGGGATATGCTTGCTCCTCTCCAACTCCATGCTCAGCCGGCGAAGCGTGTTGACCTCCGTTACAAACATTGCAATTCAGTGAAAGAGCCAGCAGCAAGACGCAGCCAAACAATGAATGACCTGAAATGGATGATGAGATGCTGTCCTGACTCCATGGCGGTTTCGCCTCGGTCGAGTCGCCAGAATCACAAGAGGCGCGGGGAAAATGCCGCAGTGGTAGGTGTGTGTTGCCTGCTGGCTACAACAATTGTAGGAACTTGATGAAGCAAGAACTTAGATTACAGAGATGATGCGAGGTGTTCGCAGGTTCGGAGGAGAAAGGAGGTGATGTACAACTAAACTGGAGTGGAGGTGTGAAGGCTTTTCGACTTCTCACTCTTTCGACGTTTGTCACAAACTTTGTGTCAGGTGCACCGGTGTTGATACGCTAACAGCTCACGTGCGGTGCTTATCATATGCCTTATGTTTGTTATGGTGTGTGGCTCCATGAAATCCGGGCAATGGATCTATCGTGTGCTCTTGTCTTGACAGTAGCCAGCGCCGCGTTCAAGTTAGTTTGACGCCTAGGCTAGTGTTCGTAATGTTAGGGCCGCGCGGTCCTCGGCGCTGCTCTGTGTGCATCCAAAAGTGCGGCTTCCATTCGGTAATCACGCACTAGCACTCTGTGCAATGCTGCTCAGTAAAATCCAACCCCGTGAATACTAAGGAAGCGAATGAAGAATAGATGCCAAAAAGTTATTTTACGAGGGGATTCAAGCAGATAACATTAGATAATGGGGGAAAGGGTAGGGCATAGGTGGAGTCCAGTCCGATGTTCACAGGTCTAAGGTAGCACAGCGCCCAAGCCTGGGACTGGCATGATTGTGATCGGATTTCATTGAGCTGCTTTGTGCATTGTCGTCACCATGGTCACTTACTCTTGACTACTATACTAGTCTCTAGTCTAGGTTACCATGGTTACCAAGACTCAAGTCAAGACTAGTCAAAGAGCCTTTTAAAAAAAGTGCTTGAGTAAAACATGGCAACGGGCGACAAGGTAGTGGAGATCTCTCGAGAGCTTGAATGGCCGTTGACACTTGGCGGCTAGGCTCAGTGTGACGACGATGTATGACCATGATCATCATTAATTTTGGTGAATGTGTGTGGTCACGGACATCAACTACCCATTTGCTACGTGATCACGTGGCAGGTCCCAGTACAAATATGTCATCATTATCACCTCTTGGAAGTGATTTGTGTCACACGAGCCATATTGACCTGCATCTAGAAAGCAGATCAGCCTTCAATGAATTCCAAGTGAGAAAACTGCATGAATGATGGCATGTACGAGGCACAAGCGTGCACCCCCGCCCCCTCAACATGCGCACACACACACACACACACACACACACACACACACACACACACACACACACACACACACACACAACATGCACATGGACATGTGTCATATCACTTCCATGCACTGTTCAAAGGGTCGATGTGTTTAAAAAAATTCAAACCATCATTCATTAGAAACGTGCTCACTTGGCTTCCGCCAGCGGATGCTCAAGTTTTGCAAGTAGCATGGAGAGAGTCCAAGAAGATAAACAGAGAGATATGAAAAATTGAAGGAGACACGTTTAGACTGGTTTGATGTTCCACATGAGCAATGCCTATGGTACCTGGCGTTGGTCTTTAACGTGACTGTAGGCAAGTGTTACACTTCCAATCCACGGCAGAGGCATGGGATATCATGGAAACATGACCGTAGTGGTGAGCGTATCCGTGTTGCTGCAGTTACCCACACGTACCGTGTACTCCCCGGGCATAACCTGGAGTTGCAGGTCCTGTGTGTGCAGAGCAAGGTCTACAAACTTGACCAGCTTGGACACGGTTGTCTTCTCGCCTGTGAAGAGAAACGGCCAAGAAAGCCAAGAGGAGTGAAAAGGGTTGTATGACTATACCAGCATTGGCATGTACAAATGGTCATTGATATAAGCAAGTGTACAAACAGGGAGTGTACAGTTCTGACCAGAGAAATTCAACCTCATGAATATAGTAGCGCCGCGTTCGAGTGCACAGAACAGTATGTGTAGTGCCGACCATTTCCAGATTTCAGAGTACAATACTACTAGTCTTTGCCTTGATCCTAGATTTGGTTCCTGCTGATGCAGAATGGTTAGTCGGACTGACTCTCAAGTGAACTTTAAATTTGAAGTCTGACACTCACTCTGACTACAAGCTTCAATTTCACATTGGATCGAGGCAAATGCCATCTTCAATGCTGTACGTGTTGGCACTAGCACGCTATAATAAGAGTACAAGCTGCAGGTACACTGTAGATATTTGACTGATGTCTTGTGAATAAAGGCTGTGTGGCTGCTGCATACAACCTGATCCGGAAATACCAGTACAGTGCCGTATTTCAATGAATATAGTCTTACACCTTTTTACACTAAACTTCTGGGCCAACAAAGGGGGTGCGACTTACAATTAAGCATGACTTAATACTGAAGTGAATGATGCATTGAAATGATGGCAGACCCAAACATGGGGGTGTGATTTACGGGAAATACGGTACGCATAATTGATATTGCCACGCACAAGAACTATATGTAGCGGTAGCTACTTAGAGTAGTTTCGCCTGAATCTTTATTGCAGAAGGGGGAACATTATCGGACACGGAAAAGCACAACTAACTACAAGGAGAGCAGAAACGAAGACGAGATTCCAATCGGGAATCACTGTGTAAAGAAGACAGAGAGCGGAATGGACTACGGCGCTGCGTGCACACGACAGCGACCGGAAGCAGCGTGCCCAGTACGGGATGCCATGTATAGATGAAGCCCGAGGGCAGTGCACTCAGACATGAATACGCACGCGCACCCGAGTACTGCATTCATAGCGGGGACTGTGCCATAGAAGGGGAAGGGTTAGTGATGCGCAGCCAGCAAGTGCAGCGGTACATGAATGCATGAGTCTATGGTACAGCAGACAGGGTGCGGTTCTTACACACGTACGCACGTTAGATCAATGCGAGTGAGTATAGGGAGTAGGAAGAAGAAACCAGGAGACAGACAATGCTATGCCTAGGGATAGAGTTCTGTCATGATGCTACTCATTACACTACATCTCCCCTAACGGAAAGAGTGGAAGGTCCATGTTCACATGGTCGAGATAAGCCGCTCAGGTGCAATGGCTTTGCGACCTGAACGCGTAGTGGAGGTGGCACTTGTGCCGGCCTCGGCAGCAGCTGGTGTGCCGTCGCAGCTCGCCACGGGAGATTCTCTGCCGCGTGTCCCGGTGGCCTCGGGCTGCAGGGCGATGGGGGCTGCTGGTGTCTCCACTTCTGCTGGGCTTGGCGGGAGTGGCCGGAGGCTCCTCGCGTTTCGACGTACGGTGGAGGTGGCTGTCTTGACATTGTAAGATCGCTCGCTGAGCTGTAGCTGTACCACTCCTTCCTGGCGCAGGTCTGTAACCCACACCCGGTCCCCCGCTACGAGCCGACTGGGCGACCGGACACGGTGTCGGCGGTCGAAGTCCGAGACTTGCCGGTCCTGCTGCTGAGCTTCTCGACGGCGAACCAGATCCAGGTCTGGCCAGGCTGGTGTCAGCTGGGCCGCGGGTGTTGGCACTGTGGAGCGGAGTTGCCGCCCCATTAACAACTGAGCAGGGGTGAAACCACATTGCAACGGGGTAGAGCGATACGCGAGTAGAGCTGTCGGGAGGTCGGTGGACTTGCGGAGTAGCTCCTTGATGGTGCGCACTGAGCGTTCTACCATGCCATTGCTCTGCGGGTAGCGAGGTGAGCTGGTACGGTGCTCGATATCGTGACGGGTCAGGAAGAGTGCGAACTCCGAGCTAGCAAACTGCGGCCCGTTGTCAGAAACGAAGCTGTCTGGGAAACCGTGCCGCGCAAAGTGCATGTTGAGGGCCGCAATGATGGCGGCGGAGGTGGTGGTGCGGAGCTGATCCACTTCTACAAATCGGGAGAAGTAGTCAACCGTAATCAGGTAGTCGATACCATCCAGTGTGAAGAGGTCGGCCGCAACGCGCTGCCATGGGCGGTCTGGGAGTGGCAGAGGGTGCAGTGGAGCTGCGGGGACCAGGCGTGTCCGGCTGCAGACTTCGCAGTTGCGGACTGTGTCGGCGATCTGACTGCTAAGCCCTGGCCACCACACGGCTGCCCGGGCACGGGCACGGCACTTGGTGACGCCTTGATGACCCTCGTGGATTGCACGTAAGACCTCGGACTGCAGGGACGCAGGTATGACTAGCCGATCGCCGAAGTACAGGCAGCCATCGGCGATGGAGAGGGCCTGCCTGGAGTGGAAGTATGGGTGGAGGTTGTCCGGGATGCTGTGCTCTTTGTCGGGCCAGCCGGCGGCAACGAACTGGCGCACCTGAGCAAGGATGGCCTCATCGGCTATGGCGAGGCGAACACGGCTGCAGAAGTCGGGCGATGCATACTCAGCCGAGACGGCGGACACATGGGCTTCAATGTCGTTGATGACGTCGGCCATGGTGGAGGTTTCGGTGCTGTCGTCGCCGGGAGCCCGGGACAGAGCATCTGCAACTACGAGGCGTGGACCCGGCACGTAGACAGCTGTCACGTCGTATCGGAGCAGCCGCATGAGCATTCGCTGGCACCGGAGTGGCGTGTTGTCGAGGTCCCTGGCGTTGATCAATGGCACCAGAGGCTTGTGATCGGTTTGCACCTGAAACGGACAGCCACCCTGGAGGTACTGGGCGAAGTGGTCACAGGCCCATGTCACAGCGAGCAGCTCCTTCTCAATCTGCGCGTAGCGCTTTTCGGTATCGCTGAGAGACTTGGAAGCGTAGGCGACTGGGCGCAGCTCGCCGTCGTGCATCTGTAGTAGGGTAGCTCCGAGACCATAGCTGCTGGCATCAGCACTGACCGTGGCAGGCTTGGCTGGGTCGAAGAAGGCGAGAGTGCAGGCTTTAGCGACGAGGGACTTCAACTGGTCGAGTGCCGCCTGTTGCTGGGCGTCCCACAACCAAGCGACGTCAGTGCGGAGCAGTGCACGGAGAGGTGCGGAGATGCTGGCCAAATCGGGAATGAACTTCCCCACATAATTGAAGAGGCCTAGCAGCCGGCGTAAACCGGGGACATCAGTAGGAGCAGCCAGTTGCAGGATTGCCGCGACACGGTCAGGATCGGGCTGGACCCCGCTTGCACTGATCCGGTGGCCCAGGAATTTGACTGTCGGCTGGCGCAAATGGCTCTTGTCCGGGTTCAGAGTCACGGATGCAGCCGCTAGCGCCTCCCGAACTTGTTGTAGAGCCAGGTCATGGGCTTCAATGGTAGCACCGTACACTAGAATGTCGTCCATGAAGACACACACACCCTGTATTCCCTCCAGTATGGCCATCAGCCGACGCTGGAAAATCTCGGGCGCCGATGTGATCCCGAATGGAAGACGTCGGAACATGTAGCGGCCGAAGGGTGTGATGAATGTGGCGAGATGTTGGGAAGCAGCGGCGAGGGGTACTTGCCAGAAACCCTTGCGTGTGTCGAGCGTGGAGAAGACCGTGGCTCCGGCGAGCTTGGCAAGTGTCTCGTCCACAGTCGGCAAGACAAAGGACTCACGCTGCACGGACGCATTCAGACGCTTGAGGTCGACGCAGATCCGGACGTCACCTGATTTCTTGCGGACGGCCACCATTGGGGCGCACCACTCAGTGGGCTCGGTTACGGGCTCGACGATGCCAGTGTCCACCATTCGTGCTAACTCGGCCTTTACCTTCTGGAGCAGCGGGAAAGGCACCCGTCGAGCGACTGGGCAGTGATATGGCTGGGCGTCGGGTTTGAGCCGGATGGTGGCGGGCGGGCCTTGCATACACCCCAACGGCTCAGCACGCGTCGGGTCTGCCTTGATGTGGCCTATGCCTTGTCGGACGAAGCCCATGCGGATGGAGGCTTGTCGGCTCAGCAGATTGGCACCATCTCCAGCGAGCACGTAAACCTCGTGGTTGAAAACTTCGCCAGTGAGTGCCTGGCTGGCCACGGAAAACTGACCGGCCAGATTGAGCCGGGCGCCATCGGGTCCCATCAGGTTGGTGGATGGCCGCTTAAGTGCTGGGGCGGGCTGTAGGCTGGCAAAGGTGCTGGCGTTCATCACGGATGTATCCGCACCTGTGTCGACCTTGAACACCACCGGTGTTTGGCCGATCGTCACTGAGCGCATCCAGGGTCCGCCCTCCAGCAGGTTAGCATCGGTAGTAGGAAGAAGAAACCAGGAGACAGACAATGCTATGCCTAGGGATAGAGTTCTGTCATGATGCTACTCATTACACTACACTATACAATCAGACCTCGCTTATCCGGTCCTCTTTTATCCGGATTCCTCGCCATCTGGAAGAAAATCGTTGGTTACCGATTTACAGCATAATTATGTCATGCATACATACAGTACGTGTGTTCGATTATCCGGTTCCCTCGTCTATCCGGATATTTTTGTGGAAAACGGATGTGTGCGGTTATGCGAGGTCTGCCTGCACTACCTTGGCGGTACTCACCTTTCTTGAGGAAGACTTTGTCGAACGCAATCAACCGCTTCCAGTATGGTACCCATGGCAACACGGGATCTTGAACGTAAAACTGAACTACCTGCGTGGCATCGCGGTCACCGGTATTTGTGACGTCAACGGCCACCTGACGGGCATGACACAACACAAGTGCAGAAATCAAAAACCTACCAATGGAAAGAAAATATTTGAGACTATTTGCCATGGAAAGCATGCATACAGGCGATTTTAATAATTCGGAAAGACCAAGGTTATCCCACACTACACAGGACCGGGAGATAGAGTATTGGAAGCGCAGTACCAACATGCCAATGTATAGAGCATTTGAACATCCCGAGACTGACTGCATACCGTACCTCCAGCGGGTTCTGCTCGGTGCGAAGCTTCGACGCACGCAGGTTCTCCATCTTGAACTCAGACAAGGATAGTCCATAGCCCAGCGGGAACAATGGCGATGCATCGCTATCCACGTAGGAGTCGTAGCGACGACCATCCGGGTCCGGGTCGCCTCTCGCATTGGCTAGCCATTTCCCACGTATCTGCTGCAGCCAAGGGTTGGATCCACTGTTCACCTAAACATCGAAATTGAAGAACACCAACGACAAAAATGTATTCGTCAAACAGCCTTGGAACACGGCCGAGGAAAGAGCAGCACACTGCATAAGTTGGCAATGGTATGTTTATGCTTATTCATCAATTACACGGCCCAGGCCATTTTCAATGCGATGTGGGCGATCATCTCTCTAGCCAGCCTCAGCAGACGAAAGTGAATAAACATGACAAACAAGTGGACCAAAACATTTGGCAAGCGCTGACTCAGGATGGAAAATTCTTATGAGCAGGACTCTCCTATTGCTTAAAACATGAAGACACCCGTGACCGAGGACAGATACTGCTGCTGCATGACAATAGACACCCTTAGCAAAATACGTTATGTTGTAACGGTATTACCGTAAGGGGAAAAATACCGTGCTTTGGGTTCGACCTTTAGCAAGATGCACGCTATTCTTAGTACGCTGTTGCCACGAGAATAGCTTTTATTCCGCGCGGTACAACCATTTATGTCACCATATACGCGATACAAGGTGAAATGCGTACGGACTATGCAATATTTGGCCAAAAAACGTACCGTTTGTCACAACAATAAATCAGCCCCCATAACGTTTTTTACGCTGCAGCTTCAACGCTATTTGGGTGATCAAGGTATGAGGACCGTAACAAATAGCGTTACCGTTGTTTGCTAAGGGTGTCTATTGAATCTTCTTTTGAAAACAAGAAAATAATTGCACACATGCAGGGGAATAATAGAGTCTCCAGTATCGAGAGTGCCGGGGGGGGGGGGGGGGGGTTGCCTCTCCTTTCAGTTGGTATGCTTCAGGTGTTGTGGTGGCAGTCTGCACAATCGCATAGTCTGGTCAAGTGCTCGATACTGTGTGCGTCTGCACTGTACACGAGTGAGTGACAGCAACCACATTATGGGGGAAATGGTCACGTACGCGCCGCTGAGCATCTTGTTGAGCCAGTTGGGGGGGGGGGGGGGGGAGAAACTAGTTACAATAGGCCTCCTCTACACCAGCCACATGGTGACCCTGGGTCCACCACTGTGTTCTAGAGCCATGGTAAGAAGTTAATAAAACTAAATATCAACCTTGAGGCCGCCTATAGCTGGCTATAGCTGGCCGCCAACGTTACTGACTTGAGTAGCTTCCCTTTAATGAACCAGTATTTATCAAAACCAATAGTAAAATGAGACCTGTCTAAGGTGACTGCTAAGAACCGCTGTGTACAGGTGGTCTGCTCATCCGGGGTCATTTGATTGCGAATAACATCACTTGGTCTTAGTTGTACTGATCCTCTGAGGCACCTCGTATTGGTCATCTAATCGGAGTGTTCGCCTTGACATGTTTAACTGTACTTCCGCTCTTACCTGTCCAACATTGCGAGGCCAGCTTTGAGCTAGCCTTCCCGTTGGCTCAGCATCACCAAGCAGGACGTCGCCGATGGCAACTGCACCCATTTGTCCAGATCGCCATGCCACCAGCACATAGTCCATCATGTCCAACAGCTCGTTGCTGACAGCAGAGAAAAAAAACACCAAAACGCACAGAGAAGAAATCAGTGCATATGCATTAACTAGTCAAGATATGCATTTGCACATGCATTTAGTTACATGCATAGTGTGTCACACTGCTGAAGAAACAAGGCAACAATACCATCGACCACTGACCGACAGGAACCATACCGATGAAGTCACACAAACAAATTGCACGGGTTCGCGTAAAGGGCGGGTCAAGAGCCACCGTTCCGCTTCCATGGGACACCACATGATCAGAAGTCACAAAGCAGTATAAAAGTCATGTGTTCACAGGTTACAGCTGCAGGTTCTCATAACTGCATGTGCATAATCAACTGATGGCCTGTGTAAGGTGTACTCAATATGATCAGCTGGCCACATACACATCATTATTCAAATCTCCACAAGAAACCATTAGTCGACCGCGCATTGAACAATGTGGATTCTTGTAGAAACGTGTAGGAAAAAATAGGTGCTTCATCTCACTCTTTGCCGAAGGTGGTTGGTCGTCCATTAGTGAGCACCATGACCAGCACAGCGCCTGGCTTGGACGCGTTCTTGACCTGTGATACCATCTCCATTTGACCACCGGGCAGATCCAGGGTGTCTCTATCGCCCCACTCACTGCATGACCCGAGAGAGTCGCCGACCACCTTGAACGGCGCACAACATGCAGTAAGTGAAAAAAAAGGAAAGCATCAGGTTTGGCAAAGGAAAGACAGTGGAAAGTCGTCGATGGAATCAAAACCCATCCACATAAGTACTACTGGGTGCACAGTAAAGAGCAACGGGGCTCAAAACGAGGAGTACAGGAATGAGGAGGAGGAGGAGGAGGAGGAGGAGGAGGAGGAGGAGGAGGAGGAGGAGGAGGAAGAAGAGGAGGAAGAGGAGGAGGAGGACATTGCAGACACAGGTTGAAATCATGTACTGTACAACAGTGACAAGTGACAGTCCATGGAGACCACTCAAATACAAAGGGATAACTCTGATATGGCAACCACCTGCTACAGAGGGCGGTTAGAACCCAGAACAAAGGCTGCGCCAACTCTCTGTCAAATTAACTGGTATAACGGGGTCCACTGTGCATGAGGGCTATATTCTGATGGGTCTTGTGAGACTGAAATCGGCAGAATTTGCCAAAATAGCAGATGAACAGACAATATAGGCATGAAAACAACATGATCATTGCCCAAGTATACATGCAGGTCTGCTCAATTTCTGCCGGGCTTTATCTAGGCGAAGTAAGGAGAAATCATACTACCACCGTGATGACCAGGTTATCCACTACCCCACACCCCATAGTCACAGGTCACAGTCTACAGACCATAGCAGCGCACTGAGTTCTTACCAACACGATGACATCAGCATCAGCAGCAGCATGCAAAGCCGCCGGAAGATCACTGGTCTCGGCACTCTCTATGGAGCAGCCGCGTGCAAATGTCACGCTCGATGAAGCGTTCATCTTCGCCGAGATGTACTCTTCGATAGTTTTCACTTGGACTTCAGCCAGCTGAGCGTACGGACCAATCATGTTCTTCTGAGCATCACAGTAGCCTGCATCATCTTTCAGAAAGACACGATGGCTGCTATGCTCTTCTCTTCCAGACAAGCCACCATCACTAGTTTGCATACCCTGCTTTGGAGGGCATCCAGCGTTCGGCCCAATTATGGCAACTTTGCCACCTCTGGCGGAGGAACCAAGCGGTGGCCATGATCCAGGTGGTCGTTTGACAAGTGTGATGCCCTGCAGTGCTGCCTCATAGGCCAGCTGCTGATGCTCCTCAGTGTTCAGAATCGATGGCGCTGACTCGTTCACAAGTGGATGGTCAAAGAGACGCGAAACTGTACATAGATCCACACATACCCATAATAATGATAAGCCAACGTGTGCAAACAGACATTCAGACAGACAGACAAGCAGATGGACAGACAAGCAGATGGATAGACAGACAGACAGACAGACAGACAAGCAGATTTAGAGACAGACAGACAAACAAACAGACAGAGAGACAGGTGACATGCAGATAGATATACAGACAGATGTTTAGAATGTTATTGAGATGAACAGGCAAGCACACACACACACACACACACACACACACACACACACACACACACACACACACACACACACACACACACACACACACACACACACACACAACACACACAGACACACACATGTATGCATATTCAGAAGGCAACTGACAGCCACTGGACGCCTGGTGGCTTCCCGCACAACAAGCCTAAGACTTCAAGCCAGTAAATACGAGTACAACTGGAGTGTGATTGCCTCCGGGGCCAGCTATTACATTGGTGGCAGCGGTGGGATTCGAACCCACGTCTCCGGAGAGACCGGAGCTTCTTGTTGCCTTTTCTATCTCTTTGCATTCCAAGGGTGTATAATATTTCTTTCCTAATAACTACTGGTAAACTACGACGTGTTTGACTTGAGTGAGTGTGATTGCCTCCGGGGCCAGCTATTACACAACAACCAAGTATTCATACTTCTGAAGTATATGCAAGTTTCAGCCAAACTACACATATTCACTCTTGATGTATGTATCCCGTACCATGTGTGCGGGGTCAGTGTATATCAACAACAAGACAACTCACTGAATTTAGATGTTAGAACACGGCGTACTGATCCCTCAATGTCGGCTACCGTTACCAGTCCCTCAGTCAGTGCCTGTCCAAGTTTATCATAGCTGTGCTTGCTGGGGTCACTGCCGCACATCAGATCAACATCAACACCTCCCAGTAAACCCTGGACAGAATGCAACGACATTGGGAATAACAATGGATTACAGTGGTAAGTTGGTAACAGCAGCAGCAGCAGCAGGTGTCGAAGAAAAGCAACAAAACAGCGTAGCCATGTACGACCAACCTTGCGAGTAAAATCCTCAGGTATAACAACGGCTTGTGAAAAGCGACACTAACTTTTATCTTCAGACCTAGTAGCCACTCGATTGTATACTTTCAATTCCCAAAATGATAACACACGTTTTGCCTCCCCCCCCTCTCGTTCTCTCACCTTAGCTGCTGCATGCGAGGCATTGGCTGCCACACGGTAATCCACCAAGACGCCAATATCATTGCAATCACTGATTATGCTTCCCACGCCTGCAGCCATCATTGCATCAACAAAAGTCAGATTGAGATGAACACAACATCAAGAGCAAATGTCCTGAGTTCCAGTGCTTACATAACGTTACCCAGATATAGCCAGACTAAACCACATGGCAAGTAACCGATACTAGTGAACAAACACCACGTGCTTTTTCAGCCATAGAAACACCTCCAGGCAAAGCCAGGAATGGATGGATTAAAATATGGATGGATGGATTGGTGAATGGATGAATGATTGGATGGACAGACGGGTGAATGGAAGGAAGAATGGAGGAAAGGACGGACAGACGGGCGGATGGACATACACATGGATGGATGTTTGGATGAACAGATAGATGGATAGACGGATAAATTGACCGACAGACAGACAAACTGGCAGGTGGATGGGTGGGTGGAAGAATAGACAAACAGATGGATGGATGGATGGATGGAGGTATGGATCGGAACGATGCAGTGACATACAGAAATATCATACAGAAGCATGCATAGGCAGCTGGCACGCATGTATACAAAGGATAGATGATTAGGTGGAGAATCAATCACCTGCAAAACAAAACAATCTCTTCTGACTCCCAGTCACCCAGTAGTCCTCTTTGAGTACAACTGAAGAAATGCAGATTCTGGTACCAGTACTGTAGGCTTACCAAATCCATACTTCTCACGTAGGACGTCGTTAACCAGCCATGGATTGGCATGGCACGGTACGTGAGCGACAGTCTGGTGACTGGTCATGACTGCACGACCGCCGTTCTGTGCAAATACATGCCATGGCTGTAGCAGAGTACACATACACAAACATGTTTTGGGTTCAACACAATGTGGACCAACTTGGGACTAAACTACACGAAGGTAGTATTGGTAGTATATTACTTTGATGATTTTCACTCAGTTCGGACACTCACACATAGTCTTTTGCTGCAAAGGCTCTTTAGATTTACCAAACTTTCAGGGATGGCCCATCCACAGAGCCGGTGAAACAACAAAACTGAAGGACAGCAAAGGAATTGATAAGATATGATGTGAGGTGCAGTAGAGAAAGTGAGAAGAGGGAGAAATGTGAGAAATGTATCAGCTTAGGTGTGTATGTATGGAGAGTAGGAGCGCTGGTGAAAGGTTCTGGGAGAAAGGGAGGGAGAAAAGTGGGTGTGAGGGGGAGGGGGGGGGGGGGCTGCGTTTATAATTATTAAGTGAACATGCTAGTGCGAAATAGAAATAGAACGCTACAAGGCTGGAGCTGTACTGGTCCAGCCAAATGTGGAGACAAATATTTTCCAAGCACGGTACAACCAGCTAATACACACGGTCATACATACGGCTGCAAGGGAGTGTGAGAGACCTTAGAACAGTTACTTTGCAGCATGAGATTTAATTACTCAACACGTCTTTCTACAGACTTGACATCTACCTGGCCCTTGTCTCGTTGCATACACAAGAAAAGGCCCCCCGCCTGCCATGTACTAGTTTTCCTCAATAACATCCAGACTTGTTGAGAAGCTAGCACCCTATCCCAGTACATACACCAGTGCTCACAGGTCTGGGAATGCCAGCAGCATCGCAGAGCCCAGTGTTTGCAGGTCTGAGGCTGCACACAGCGTCCAGCGCTAGTCGCTGTTGCTGGCTGCCTAACATGACTGTATTACAGAAATGTACAACCACACCTTGATGTACGTCCATACGATGAATAAGGTCACAGCCCAGTCCTTCCACTGTTCAAAACCCAGCGGATAGAGCCTTCTTACCCAGATAGAAGAATGAGGTTAAGTTGCAACTCAATTTTCACACAAACGTGATCCCCATCAGTGCAGTAATTCTAGCCAGTCCACTTTAATAATTATTATTCCCGTAGCTATGCAGAAGACTGTTGTGTCTCTAACCAAGAGACTGTGGGTTCACACGTAGAGTTTACATACAAGTTTATTCTACGGTTGCAAAGCAATAAGAAGCGTTGAGGTATGATTGTGCTAGAGGATATAGGAGTTGTATCCCGGGTGCGGGATGCGTTGGGTGTTGGGTGGCAGTACAATGAATTGCTATAGAGAGTTCATGCCTAAGCGGTTGTGGTTTTAGGGTGGATCAATAGTACTTGCAATTAGATGAATACATGTCTGGTACATACACTACAAAGACGTTACTTCAGTAACGTCTGGCGCTAGCCAGGGTCCACACAGCTTTAATTTGGTGTTTGTTTGTTTGTTTGTGTGTTTGTGTGTTTGTGTCACGCCTGGCGCTATCCCGTATCTGTCCCGTACCGTACCGTACCAACAAACACAGCTGGCCGCAATATTTAAAAAAAGGGCTTTAAAACGCATGATCATAACGTGAAGCATCTTGGAAGAATGAGTATGAATGCGAAGTGTATGGGGGAATGCATGTGGGGCGATAGTGCGGGTTCGAATCCCAGGTAATGCCTGAAAAAATAAGAGAATTGAAAATTTTATAACATCCCTTTTCTTTTTTTGCCGTCATCAAGGCGGTAGACGGTGTTGTATTACCCTCGACCGTACATGTCCGGTACCTGTCCCGTACCGTACCGCACATCCAAAGACGGCTGGCCACAATGCATATTCAAATAGGGCTTTCAAATACAAGATCATAACGTGAAGCAACTTGGAAGAATCAGTATGTATGCGAAGTGTATTGGGGGATGCATGCAGGGCGATAGTGCGGGTTCGAATCCCAGGTTATGTCTAAAACGAAAAACTAGAAACTTATAAGAATTTATAACATCCCTATGCTTTTTTTGTCTAGGTCATCAAGGCAAAAAAGCATAGCGTAGGGCCCTGAGCTACCAAGCTCTCTCGTTATGCTATAAAAGATCAAGTTTGTAGCTTGCATGCTCATAGGGTTCCTTTATCATTCGTACCTTCAGATAGACATCAAACAGTGTCTGCATGTCCATATGAGCCGGTGCGGCGTTCAGACCACCAGCTGCATCTCCATACGCTGCATAGTGCTTAGCCAGTGATATAATGTGCTGGCCATCCAGGTATGTTACATTGCCTGTTCCCGGCACACTCTCACCTGTGTGAAAACAATCGGCATGAACCGCAGAGCGTAGAGCACATTGCGCAATGACGTAATGTGTACCATACGTGAACACCCTACACAGCCACCTGGGCATGATCGTGTGCGGTGTTGAACAGTGCATTCCTGATCCCAGCGCTAGCGTACTCACATGCATTATTGATGCAATCTTTATTTTGGCAATACGCCTGTTCAGTAGGCTGTCTTGCTAGATTATGATCAGACTACTCAGTTTTCAGTCCACCAATGCTAAGCCGTGCACAATTAACCGGTGGAAGAGAGCAGAAAGCTGTCAATGACATGCATATGTTCCGTATTCGGCCAGGCCATCCATGTTTGGCAATACTGCGTGACCAGAAAGTGCTATGCATCTCATAGAATACAGTCATGAAGTAGCAAAAATCAGCCATCAGTCCATCAGTCCATCAGTCCATCAGTCCATCAGTCCATCAGTCCATCAGTCCATCAGTCCATCAGTCCATCAGTCCATCAGTCCATCAGTCCATCAGTCCATCAGTCCATCAGTCCATCAGTCCATCAGTCCATCAGTCCATCAGTCCATCAGTCCATCAGTCCATCAGTCCATCAGTCCATCAGTCCATCAGTCCATCAGTCCATCAGTCCATCAGTCCATCAGTCCATCAGTCCATCAGTCCATCAGTCCATCAGTCTTCCCAGTGCATGTTACTACTTTTAAAAAGTCTCATTCCATTCATCTCAACACTTGCAAGTTGAGACTATCATCTCGGCCCTTGCAAGTTGAGACCATCAGATCTGCACGAAATCCCAAATATCGGGCTTTAGCCACTTCTAAAATACATCCTGAGAACGCTTCAGTCTCACCAGTGTTCCAGGGTGTGTTCTGGTACCGAAACGAATTCCTTGATTTAGCCATCACAATAAATCAAAGGAGATCAATTCGGCTAAAATTCTTCAATTTATGTTCAGTACAGCACTGTTGGTCGCCGAAGAACTGGGGGGGGGTGACTCGTAGCCTAGACCATTCTTGTTTTTCATGTACAGTCAACTTCGCTAATAACGACTGCGGATATAACGACAATTCGCGAATAACGACAGAATTTGCATGCCCAGAGCAATGTCCCATCTAACTGTGACACATATAATGAGACTTCGGGTATAACGACACTTCGCGAATGAGGACAATTTTCTGATGCCCCGTCGAGTGTCGTTATAAGCGAAGTTGACTGTACTGAGGTCTATGCACAGAGGAGACACCATGTATACATTGGTATGCTGACGGTCCTTGGTGAAACTCTAGCCTGGTCGTTCTTCGGCGCCCTACAGTGCTGTACTGGATGGCGGTGAATCTGTGAGTGTGTCTGGCAGTGTGTCTATCACCATCCAACACTTACCCTGGTAACCTACAACGGCTGCAGCAGCATACGCAGCAGACAGGGTCGGGTTCTCCGAGAAACCTTCGGAATGACGGCCAAACCTATAAAGGAGTCAGTCAACAACACAGGACTGAGGACAACGAATACACAGAGCAGTCAGAGGGCAGACGCTGACACTCTCTGCTTCCAGGCGTAGAGTACGCTGAAGGCAGAGGAGTACTCCGCTTGCCTAGGCAGACAAAATAGACAGTCAGACAAGTTAACCTTATGGTCTAGGTGCTATTATCAAATATACACAAGAATTTGATAAGGACCTGGTGCACACACAACGACATAGTCCACTACTGGTGTGCAATACTGTAAGGGTTGAAAGTGTGACGAGTCTAAAGTTTAACGATTTGCAAACTTTCCCCACTTGGCGGGCACAACATGTTTAACGGCCCTGCCAACCCACACCGTCGTTTATTTCTCTAGCACAAAGGAGAGTAATGGTAACGCTTCTTGAGTTAACGATAGATTTTTCTCGTTGAAACGTTAGACTTTGTATCCCGTTCGAGATTCAGCCCTTACAGTACTCATCACAAGTACGAGTCACGGACTACGGACTCCCCTAGCAGCTAACCTTGCATCGGTGAACATGTTTATGACTGGTGTGAAGCCAATGCTCACACCAACACTGCTGGCTTCCAGTGCAATGGTGGATGCTATCTGATTGATAAGCGTGGTGTTCCACGTGCATCCTGAGGGCACAGAACAGCCAGGGAAAGAAAAAAACCAGCATGATCATTCGCTAGCCCAACTTAATTGCGGTAAGCATTTATGACAAGAAGCTCCCTTGTGTAACCAACATGTGCCAAGTGGATGTCATGGCAGTTGTTTGTCCATCAACCTTGCTCAGTGGATATTCTGTCATACTGACGATACTGGCATGGTAGCGAAGTGGTACAGCAGGACAATATTGCTACATGCCGCATAGTAAGATATAGTAAAACACTGATACGATGTACCATCCTCTCCCCCCCCCCCCCCCCCACACACACACACGCATGCACTTGCCGCCCCGATCAGCAGGAAAGTGCGCATGGTATCCAAGGCACTTCTTATCCCGACATGCTTCACTCAGTATTGAACAACACACCCCGTACTCCAGACAATGCTCGTACTAACCAAGAACACGTCTTATCAGACCTGATAAGTACTAACTGTTAGGTGGATTCTGTTCAGGGGCGTCGGAAGGAGGTAGAAAGTGGTACGGCTCGACAGTCAGAGGGGGTCCGGGAGAAATGTCCCCCGGGAATATTTTTTTCAAAAAACACTCAAAATACCCCTCTCAGAGGGTCTCCAAAGGTACGAAGTCATTAAGGATAACAAAGAGACCGACTAGATCTACGAGTCATGACGCATACATGCCATGCAGTTCCGTAGTCGACAGTCTAGTCACGCGTTACACGGTGCAGTGACCTGACTGGTACATGGTGCACCGGTGACGGATCGCGGCTCACGATCACCCGTGGTCATGTACAAACTCGATGCACCCATTTTTTTACACCGGATTTGGACGTTCCGCGTGGACCACCTGGAGCCAAAAGTGGTGCGGCTCGAGCCGTACCAGTCGTACCGCTTCCGACGCCCTCGCTGTTGTACTTGACAGTTGTATGCATGTTCTGCAAAGTTTACCTATTCGACTTCTGTGGTGTTCAAACTGAACTAGAGAAAGGATGGAGCAAACCCAGCTTGTAGTCCACTATACTGTATACTGTACTTTACCAAATAACCAGTTGCAAGAAGGGCATTAGATGCGAGGGAAGAAGAGAGCATAGCAGCTAAGGGAAATGGACAACTATCGCAAGTGCCTGTTAAGAATGCATGGAGCAGTAGTGTGTCCGTAAGTTAGAGTTTTTTTCATATATTTTGTTACTATGTTAACACACAAGTGTGCCGCTGTACCGTGACATTGGATCGTTGTTGCAAAGTGCATGTGTATTACAGCTGTCAGTGCATGCATGTAAGACTGATAGCATGGGCGTAGCAAGCCTGTCATACATGCTGGACTGTTACTGTAAAACCGGAAAGTTTAACGACCAAAATGTTTAACGTTTTTGTAATTTTGGCATGATAACGTGCAGAAAGTTTAACGATGGCTACCTGGCCACCCATGTGTATGCACATCTTTAACCGGGTTCGCGATAACGTTTCTTCAAATAACGAAAAAATTGGTCGTTAAAACGTTAGACTTTCCGGTTTCACAGTAGCTCTTTACCTTGCAGCACGGGAGTAGGAAATACGGTTCCACCCGGCACAGAACTGTGAAGAGATTCCTCCCAGAATGCTATGGGAATGCCTAGACGGGAACTGGACACACAAAACCAAACAAAGCTGGTTCAAAGAGCACTGCATAGTATGCACATTCACAATTTTGTAGAGGAATACATGTGACAAAAGCTGCAATAACAATAAAGTCCACGGGGACGGTTGCATAATCTTATTCCTGTTGGTCTCCACAGATGTTTTTTTTAGACTAGCTAGGACATATGCTGTTCAGGGCAACACTATAGGAAGAGCACATTCACAGGCTTCAGACAGGAATCAACTATAATACTTGATCAGCTCAGGGCCAGCTGCTACCCCCCCCCCCTCTCTCTCTCTCTCTCTCTCCTTTCTCTCTCTCTCTCTCTCTCTCTCTCTCTCTCTCTCTCTCTCTCTCTCTCTCTCTCTCTCTCTCTCTCTCTCTCTCTCTCTCTCTCTCTCTCTCTCTCTCTCTCTCTCTCTCTCCCTCCCTCTCTCCCTCCCTCCCTCCCTCCCTCCCCTCTCCCTCCCTCCCTCCCTCTCTCGCTCTCTCTCTCTCTCTCTCTCTCTCTCTCTCTCTCTCTCTCTCTCTCTCTCTCTCTCTCTCTCTATCTCTCTCTCTCTCTCTCTCTCTCTCTCTCTCTCTCTCTCTCTCTCTCTCTCTCTCTCTCTCTCTCTCTCTCTTCTGAATGCATACAAAACACACACAAATAGAAGCAAAATAAAAACAAAAAATTCAAATACTGAGCCAAAGCAATGTTTATCGAGTAGCGAAGCCGGTTTACTGGCTCTGCCATGCCAGTAGCACTGACCTGCTCATGAACTTCTTTTGAATGTCATTGCGATCCTTAGGGCTACCAGGGAACTTGGTCCAGCCAAAACCAGTCTTCTTGTACGCGTCCAAGCTGGAAGAGCACACATGATAGAGAACATTAACAGGTCAATTCTGCACAGTTATCACTCATGTTCATTGACCCAAACGATACCAAGTCCAGCAGCAATCTGCTGCTTGCTGGGGAGGGGAGGGAAAACAGTGTTCTGTTGATGAAAACAAGTTTGGTGGGGGGGGGGGGGGGGAGGGAGGGGGCAGCGCTCATGGCCTTCACATGCATATCTGCCTTACTGTACGAAGCCCGTTGCATTTCTCGTAGTCAGTTAGAGCACTCAGACTGTTGCAGTGTTCATGGTTTGAGCCGGTGTAAACATGTTTTTCTGTTCACTTGACTTCATTGCAATCGGTTCAACCCACACGGCCACAGTCACCATGGTCACTCTAAGCTACGCTATTGAGACCTAAGAAGGTCGAAACAGCGGCTGTCCGGAGATTGAGTATTTCAACTACCCATTCATAATCTATGTGCCCGCAAAAGGACAAAGGAGTGTGTGTAATAGTGCTGCACATTATTGTGCTGAGCCCCGGCTCTCCGCAGGCGAAAGGCAACCTCTTGATTTGCACATCTGTATTCATGTACATGATTGTGTATAGTCAACTTCGCTGATAACGACTGCGGATATAACGACAATTCGCGATTAACGACAATTCGCGATTAACGACAATTCGCGATTAACGACAGAATTTCCATGCCCAGAGCAAAGTCTCATCCGACTGTGACACATAATTATAATGAGACTTCGGGTATAACGACAATTCGCGAATAAGGACACTTTTCTGATGCCCCGCCGAGTGTCGTTATAAGCGAAGTTGTCTGTAGTTGATTTTGATCCTAGTTGAGAGTATACGTTATAATATCATTACTACATTAGTGTCACCGACCTTGCACCCTGTGCGCCCACCAGCTGCGCTATCTTTTCCTCGGTGTTCATCTTGGCCAGCAGGTCAGCGATGCGTTGGTCTATGGGAGCGCTAGGATCCATGTACCGGTACACGAACAGCGGCTCTCCCTGCTGACCTGCATCGCTTTCACCAGCATCTCGTACAGTGCCATCATTTACTTGCGCTGCTGCCTCGGCCTCTCGCTGAGACGGCTTACCAGTACATTGCAAGACTGCATGGCTGAGGAATACGAACAGAAGCAGCGAGCCAAACGACATTGCACCGGCCTAGTTTGCACGACCACCCTTCGATGTAGTGGGCGATAATTATCGTAAAGAACAAGCCTCATGTGATATACTTGTCGTTACTGACTTTAGATTCCAGAAATGTAATGGGCACTGAGATATTTTTGACACTTCTGCCGTTCTGGAGTTCTTCCTTTCTTTCAGCGATCAGGCCTGATCTGCTGCTACGCGTGATGCATGTAGCGGCAGTAGCGGTGTCGAACTGGTAATCGTGGTGATGGTAGATACGGTGTGCTGATCGTGCCAAAAACCACAGACAGCCATACCACTGTACTTACCAGTGCGAGGCGGAGAGTCAGGACCCGTAGATCTACTCCCGCAGCAACAGCTCCTATTATATTATTATATCTAGCTCTACGCCGGACACAGTCGAGTCGTGACTATGGTGACAGGCAACACGTCGTGATGTGAAGGCAAGAGAGGGATCTAGCGCTATTCTAGGTCTAGGGAGTTGGTGACAGCCCAGGCTAGGGTGAAAACAAGGCTCTCCAGGCAAGGAAATGGTATTGGTAGGTGTTGCCTGACGCAGCAGAAGGGGCTGGAGAGCGGTCTATTCGGCTGGTGTGTTGACCTGTATGGAGAGAATCATAACCTGGCTGTGGCCCACTCCCACTTGCTGCGCCGCAAGTGGTCTTTGACATTTTCTTGAAAGTTCGCATACCTCTGGGAGAAGGCTGGGGGAGACTGCAGAAGGGTAGGCGGGAGCTGATTCCACGTTACGATGAGGGAATGGGGCAATGAGTGGAGTCGCTATTTCGTGACTGAGGAGGAAGGATACTGGCTCAGTAGTTGTGATGGGTAATGTGCTGCAGATCTGGGGTATATACCAGCTCGACACACCAATCCATGCCGGCGTGGTGGTGGACTGGGCATCCCCTCGAGTGGCTCCATTATGTGGCCAGGTGACTCTGGTGAGGAAGGCCATCCACACACGTAGTAATCCAGACGCCACCATGATTGTGGTTGGAGGCTTCTGACAATTGACAATTGCGACATTTGGACGATGATCACTGTTACTGTTACTGTTGCCACTGTCGGAGTGTCCTGTCCGGGAGTGTCCTGTCCGGGAGTGTCCTGTCCGGGAGTGTCCTGTCCGGGAGTGTCCTGTCCGGGAGTGTCCTGTCCGGGAGTGTACTGTCCGGTTGCCAGAACGTGCTTATTCCGCACTCCACACACTGATAATCTGATTACTGTTCGGCACAGTGTTGTTTACAGTTGAGTAGCAGGCTCATCTTTTTGTCACACTGTACATGCAGTCCCACCACTCCTCACACCTCGTTTCTAGGCACGTTGTTTTGCGTATTGTTGTTACACCTGTACAATGTACGTGTGAGCGTGTCACTCTGCGTGATTGTGTGTGTGTGTGTTTGTCACAAACACACACACACACACACACACATACACACACAAACACACACACACACATGTGTGCCTCATCATGGTGCGTGCGCGTACGCGTCACTATGTGTGTGTGTGTGTGTATGTAACTTTATGCGTGCGTGTGTGTCTGAGTGTGTGACAGCTGAATCATTCCGTGACGGTGTACTTTTATCACGTATGGGGTAGTTCATCCCACCTTCCCTGGCACCTTGTGTTGTATGATATACCGGTATTATGTAGGCCGTGCACTTCACAGGTTTCCCCTCGATCCTGATGATGGCTCCTGGCCGAACATTCGATTGAGTAGTGACATTATACTTCAAATTATACTTCAAAGAGATCACTTACATTGGTGATGGACATTGTGTAGGGTGTTCCATGTAACTGTTGTGAGTTTTCCCAGAGCGCACGCCGCACACACCAGCGCGCCATCTCTTATTTCTCGGTATGAAAAAATTGATGCTTGCATGTATTTCTTTTCCAGTCATCCAACAACTGAATCTTCTCTGCATGATGAGGCCAGGTCTCAGTGACCGAAACGGCTGTCAAAAGGCATTCGTATTTCAGTGGTCGGAAGTAACCTCCTGCTGTTGTGGAAAGCAGGGAGTAGTACTTGTACTACTCCCTGGTTATTACTAGCCGGCCTAGCCGCACGACCTTTTAACTTTTTACTTTTCAAAATTTTCGTATTTTTTGAATGGCTCACTACATGCACAGTGCGTACTCCAGGGAGTCGTCAGTATTAAAATTTTGACGACTCCCTGGCGTACTCTATCTATGATCTGCTCAGGTCGCCTCGATATTTTGCGGCAAAATGTTGCTGCGAAATCTTCGATATTTTGCCGAGCCTGGCACAAGAAACTCGATATTTTGCTCCATTTTGCTCCGGGAAAACGTGTATTATATCCACTTCCCGTACAACGTTTCATAAAAATCGCACCGGTTTCAACGCACGTGTCCCTGAATTCTTCCAAAATCAAGTCGATCCACAGTGAATCCCAGAGATACATGCATGTATTTCGGTAACATGATCTCGTCCTGGCCTGGGCAGTGTATCCTGCTGAACGGGTAAAAAACAAGGAAATCTAAGTATATCAGGCATCGATTTTACCCAACATTTCGATATTTTGTTCCGATTTTGCCGGCAATTTCCGCTCTTTCAATTCTTCGATATTTTGCCGAAGCCGGCAGGATCTGTCTGGGCCTAACTGACAGTCACCATGGTCACGTGAGACGCGAGGCATGCACGACTGCACCAAAAAATTAATGACGTGTATGTACATGTACCGTATACGCGTATGCAGGCATGACGTAAGGTGACGTAACTGACTAAAATTGCACCTCAAACTGCAACAAGCAACAACGAAGACGTAATTACTTTGCTGGGCCAGCATGGGGGCCCGGCCCCGGAGCTAGGTCACAGTAGGTGTGTTTGATCATGGTAATCTCTCTACTTTACTTCGGATGATAAAGCGAGAGAAAAAGCAAGCGAGATGGATCCGAAAGCTCAGTTCTCCCCCACTGCTCTGTGGGGTAAGATAGCAGCTGCCCAAAGACAACGACTCGGCTCTGTGACATATTTATTGAATTTCTCGGTGTGGAGTGCCCAGCTGCTAGAACTCAAGCCAGCAGATTACCTGAGGCCATGGTTCTGGAAATCACTGGAAATTGCCTATTGGCCTCCGAATACCGCACAAGCAATGCCGACGGCGAGAAAGGCCGCCGCGCACCGGAAATCCAATATGAACATTTGTGTGTAACATCACAGACACTTGGTGAAGTGTCAGTCGCGTCAGAGTCCACAGGTGAGCAAGAGATACTCCGACTCGATCAAGCTCGCCAGCGTGCCTACGAAGTGGATTTCCCTCCTCTTGGTGCGTCCCATACTGTAAGGGAGAGGAAGAACTTGAAGAGTCAATCTGCTAAACAAGAGCATTCGGCACAGCAGCAACCTACACGGACTCAGACTAACGGAGCAGCAGCAGCAGCCACTGTTGTACGCACGACCAGCACACGTCATCGCAAGAAGCACCGGCGTCTAGTCGGGCAAGACATCTTCAAGGTGCTGGGACTCGCCGTGGAACTGCTAGAAGACGAGGACGACTATGCGCAATGGCCGGAGTCACAAGGTCGCAGCGCTGATCACGTGGAAGACACGATGTGCGGGGACGTGGTTCACACCGATCATGCCTATGCCATCAGTGAAGCCCTCGGCTTTGAGGAGTGTGTCATGGAATGCTCCAGGCACCGTAAGTTGCCGACATCCAGCACTATGGACGGAGCTAGGCACGGTGCAACAAGGCATCTTCGTCGAATCCGCTGGAGCTTCATCTCTCGACTCAAACTGCCCAGCCGCCACCTTGCACAAAGCTCTTTTAAGATCTGTGTCGAATCCTCTGCTATCCTTAACTCTCTCGAAGCACCCGTCTGCAACAGAGGTCGATGGCTGCCCACGACTCGTCACTCCCTCAAGAAGTTCCTGGCAAAGCACGAGTGTGAATCGATGGACTTTGCGTTGGGCAGCCAACTACACCGCTGTGAAACGCGCCAATCTCCATCGCCGTTCACATCAGCCAAGTCGCGCTATGTAGCTGCGAGGTGCACGCGCAAGTGCCGCACTGAGTGTGACTGCCTGCAGCGTAAGGCACGCAAGGCTGCCGCATTGCCGCGGCCCACCGTGGTCGCCACCACGCCCGGCTATACAACCGATGGCGCTGGTCACCACGGTCACCGCTACTCCTACACACCACGGCAGCGTGCTCCGCCGCGTAACCGTGGAAACCCGGTGCCGGCCAAGTTTGAACTCCGTGCGGCGGCCGCTCGCACTGCGGAGCTCGATCTGGAGACCCGGCTCATCCGGGCGTTGGAAGTGCTGCAGCATCGCGACATCAGCCCGGAAGACTATGAGTTGCTGCTACAGCTGGATGCCAGTGTGGCAAGGAAGACGGCTAGCAGCGATGTTGTTCAGCAGCTGCCCACATTCCAGTACAGCGGCGATGGCGGCATGACTGTAACGGCAGCAGCAGCAGCGCAGTGCTCGGTGTGCATGGACTCTTACACGCCTGACAGTGTGCTAGCCCGGCTGCCCTGTGGCCATGAGTTCCACAAGGAGTGCATTGAGCGATGGCTCCTTAACTCCTCACCAAACTGTCCGCTGGATGGACTCCCACTGTCATAGTAATCACAGTGCCACCGTCCAGCCACCATAGCTCGCTATCGAGCACAAAATTCAAACTTCCTGACCTATCAAACACATCAATTCGCCGTGGACCTTCCCATGCATTATGGGTATTTCAGTAGTTTTAGCCTGTGCTGTTATTGGCTTTTGAGCCCCCTGAGAACATTTTTTTAAAGTTTTTAAATAATTAAAGAACCATCCTATGCCAACTACTCGTCAAGTGAAGTGGGTACTACGAGGCATGTGTACTCAGGAGAAGTGCAATAGTGTGTGGGCGTGTGTATGTGTGTGTATTTTGGAACCCTTAGATGTCTCTGCTGTCACCTATGTCCACACCAGAAGTTTCAGAGCCCTACTGAGAAAAATTCGAAAAACCAAAGAAAGTACAGTGTAGTATTAACCTAGATTTTATACAGCCATCATCTCATCAAAGAATCAAGGAACTGTATTTTGTGCAATGCATATGCCTTGGTTCTTGAGGGTGGTGATGTTCCGACGTGTGCGGAAATATCAATCCGACTCTCGCGCGATTTACGTTATTCTTCGGGCAGAGCGTGAGATTTCAGTTAGACAGTGCACAGTGTCTGGATAAACCGGACAGTTCGGCAATGCGGGATGTGCACACCGCACATGTATACAGTGATCTGGTGATGGCAATTTGTTTCAAAACGAAAACAGAGTTCACACATCCACTCCCCGTAAGTTAGTTAGGTACTAGTATGTGGAGTGCGTCCAACCTCTTTGTGAAAGTGTTCAGATCTACCAGGTCTGAATGCCTTTCACAGTTTTCAGACAAAAACATTGCAACAGCGGAGTACTTTCTCTCTGAAGGTGGCTTTCTGAGCACAAAAAATCTGATCATGTACATGTATGAGCATGGTGAAATCATCATCAGAAGCAGGGAGTAGTACAATACCGGTATTGTACTACTCCCTGATAATAAGTCTGAGGTGTGAGGCTCACAATCTAATGTAAAATATCTGCAAGTGCTAGTACATCACTCAGCATAAGAATATGGCATTGTGGGTGCATAATTGTGCTCCGCAGCAATTTTTTTCATAATACTACACAATATCGTGAAAAGAGGTGTCAATTTTTTTAATAGTTTCCGACGATAATGTGAAAAGAGGTGTGGCTAATCTGGGGGAAAATAACCCCAAACTTTGTTCAAGCGTAGAACGAGTGAGAAGCTCGGGGCTCCAAGTAAAAATAAACACAGTGCCAACAACCCGGCTCCAAGAAAGGAAGGAGGCAAGAAGCGTGAATAGGTTGTGATGGTGATGGTGGCTGGCGGTGGTGGTGGCACTGATTATGATGGTGGCCAGCCACAGCGGGTCGCCATCTACCAGTATTGTCTTTGACAATAAAACGAGAAAGTACATGAGCACCGCATGCATTGATGCAAACATACTCAAGAAAAAATCAGTATAGTAAAGAAGAGAATGAAGAAAACTTCTCCTACTAACAGCGATGACACAAATAGTCTAGGCCAGCCATGTGTGTGTGTGGGGGGGGGGGGGGTGCACGCTGACGTGGTAAGTTTGCACGTGGTTGGGTGTGCGGGTACGCACGTGTGCCCATGCGCTGATAAACATCGCACCTCTGTCTGCCCGTGAGTAAAATAATATGCTTGAAAATGAGTAGCTGTCACGTTGGGTCAGGCTCACGTAAGTCCTGGGAGCACACTAGCAGGGTGCACTGAACATTCCTCAGACAGCCCAGAAGCCTGGTTACGGTTCACGCACCATTGGACTTTCGCCTTCACCCGGAGCAAGCAGTGGCTGGTCAGGCTTCACCCGGAGCAAGCAGTGGCTGGTCAGGCTTCGTCTGTCGTGCACGACTAAACCACGAAAGCACGCCACGCAGGGCAGCCGAAAGTCGACTCCTTCTTGTCCGCCTGGAGAAAAGCGGTGTATTCTCGTCCACTTCTTCGCTGGCAACACTGCTAGTGCTGGCATGTTGGCATAGCAACGTGGAAGACGGTGGTGAGCTGCGGACGGTATCTGTTGGGTCCGCACCATCTGAATCATCTTCCTCTCTCCTCTCTTCCTCATCATCCCTTTTCACCTCTTGGCCGGCTGCCAATCGGAACAGTGCCACCATGCTAAGCAGGCCATGTCTCTTCAGCCATCTGTGTTGAAACACGGCTCCCACTATAGTCAAAAGTGCCCAAAGCACGGACAGCCCTATATCTGTGAGGAGAGAGAGGGAGAGAGAGAGAGAGAGAGAGAGAGAGAGAGAGAGAGAGAGAGAGAGAGAGAGAGAGAGAGAGAGAGAGAGAGAGAGAAGAGAGAAAGAGAGAGCGAGACAGAGAGACAGAGACACAGAGACAGAGAGAGAAAGAGAAAGAGAGAGAGAGAAAGAGAGAGAGAGAGAGAGAGAGAGAGAGAGAGAGAGAGAGAGAGAGAGAGAGAGAGAGAGAGAGAGAGAGAGAGAGAGAGAGAGAGAGAGAGAGGAGAGAGAAAGAGAGGGAAGAAAGAAAGAGAGAGAAAGAAAAGAGAGAGAGAAAGAGTGAGAGAGGAATATACAACAGAACCAAACAACACCAAAGCTGACACACAAGTGTACAACACGGTGCCATAGCATTATGGCCGCAATGCTCGAGAGTGATATCAACACAGCTTGTAATCAATTGCCACCCATTCAACAATGATGTCGCCACAGCATACACCTACTGTCACCCAACAGCACCCATGTAGCAATGTTGTCATCAAGCTTTCACCCGTTATGTGCCAACCATCCCTATAGCACTTTACCCAACCCTGCCGCAAGGTTCAGTAAAGTGTTACCAAGAGTATAGCCCCCCCCCCAAGAGTGTGCAACTCCTGATACCATTTCTATGGGGTACGCCGACGGCGAAAACTCACATCACGTGGTGCAGTGTCGCAGTTGTACGTTTCCTGCCCGTTTTTAGTGAGCAGCGAAGTAATAAAAAAAGCACTCTCTGACAGAAACTCACTGCGGGTATGCAAATCCCCAGCATGATCATGGCAGATATTCGGACTGCGCGCACGCTATCCTTCGTTGGTACGTAGTACGAACGTATCTGAGACACGTGATGTGAGTTTTCGCCGTCTAAGACCCCATATGCAGAGTTGCACACTCTTGGGGGGGGGGGGGGGGGAGTTGTATACTCTTGGGGGAGGGGGGGGGGGGGTTCTATACTCTTGGGGGAGGGGGAGTGTATACTCTTGGGGGAGGGGGGGGGGGGGGTTGTATACTCTTGGGGCTACTGTACAGCGATGATGTTACACTCATGCTTACAGCACACTGCTGGACTTACAGTCCATTCATTAGAAACCTAATTTTGTAAAACCTGACTGAATTTCTATTTCCCTGTTCTTGGACTTTTTTGGCCTCAAATGTGGCAAGGAGTAATTGCACGGGTCACCCAATGCAGGATGTACTGTTGTTTTCACGATCCTAGTATCTACATCTATGTGAGAGAGACACCAAAAAGTTAGAGTGCCAGTTTCCAAAGAATGGACTGTAGAAGTGCTGGACTAGAAGTGCTGTACATTTGCAACCAAACACGTGTCAACGTCATTGTGAAACAGTGAGAGGCCAAACTGCCACGGTTATGTCACTGATTGGGATCGACATAGGTGTGCAACATACATGACACACGCACACGCGCACACACACACGCACACGCGCACACACACATATGCACACATGCGCACACACGCACACACCACACACACACGTGTACTTGTACTTGTTGCTCACTGCCAAAACTGGTCACGTGGGTCTCCCCGGGAGAAGGGAGAGAGACTCAAAAGGAATCTTGGAAAGATGACTCAATTGGCTATTGAACCGCCCAACGGCCGACACCCCCCTGAAATCCCCAAAACTCTGGGTGGACTGGAAAATGATCCCACTTAGCTTCACTAGCACCATGATTACACAAGAGTTAATCTAGCCAGAAGTAGTCCATGGTTGACAGGTATGTATACTTCAAATAGAAAGTACATGAACCCTGAAACCAACAAAGGTGGTAGGTACAACATTACACCTTCTTATTCCCGTAGCTATGCAGAAGACGTTACTTCAGTAACGTCTGGCGCTAGCCAGGGTCCACACAGCTTTAATTCCCGTAGCTATGCAGAAGACGTTACTTCAGTAACGTCTGGCGCTAGCCAGGGTCCACACAGCTTTAATTTGGTATTTGTTTGTTTGTGTGTTTGTTTGTTTGTTTGTTTGTTTGTGTCACGCCTGGCGCTATCCGTATCTGACGGCAAAAAAGCATAGGATGTTATAAATTTTTCAATTCTCCTTTTTTTTCAGGCATATCCTGGGATTCGAACCCGCACTATCGCCCTACATGCATTCCCCCATACACTTCGCATTCATACCCATTCTTCCAAGTTGCTTCACGTTATTATCTTGCGTTTGAAAGCCCTATTTGAATATTGCGGGCAGCTAGACGGTGTCGTATTACCCTCGATCGTACCTGTCCCGTACCTATTCCCTACCGTACCGTGCCATCAAAGATGGCTGGCCACAATGCATATTCAAATAGGGCTTTCAAATGCAAGATCACAATGTGAAACAACTTGGAAGAATTAGTATGTATGCGAAGTGTATCGGGGGCTGCATGCAGGGCGCGCGATAGTGCGGGTTCGAATCCCAGGTTTAAAAAAAAGGATTTTTTTAAAGAAAACATCCCTATGCTTTTTTTTGTCTAGGTCATCAAGGCAAAAAAGCATAGCGTAGGGCCCTGAGCTTCCAAGCTCTCTCGTTTGGTATTTGTTTGTGTGTTTGTTTGTGTCACGCCTGGCGCTATCCGTATCTGACGACAAAAAAGCATAGGATGTTATAAATTTTTGAATTCTCCTATTTTTTTTCAGGCATATCCTGGGATTCGAACCCGCACTATCGCCCTACATGCATTCCCCCATACACTTCGCATTCATACCCATTCTTCCAAGTTGCTTCACGTTATTATCTTGCGTTTGAAAGCCCTATTTGAATATTGCGGGCAGCTGTATGTGGCCAGCTGTGTTTGATGGTACGGTACGGCACGCGAGACGGTGTCGTGTTACCCTCGATCGTACATGTCCCGTACCTATCCCCTACCGTACCGTGCCATCAAAGACGGCTGGCCACAATGCATATTCAAATAGGGCTTTCAAATGCAAGATCACAATTCGAAACAACTTGGAAGAATTAGTTTGTATGCGAAGTGTATCGGGGGATGCATGCAGGGCGCGCGATAGTGCGGGTTCGAATCCCAGGTTATGTCTTAAAAAAAGAGGATTTTTTAAAGAATTTATAACATCCCTATGCTTTTTTTTTGTCTAGGTCATCAAGGCAAAAAAGCATAGCGTAGGGCCCTGAGCTTCCAAGCTCTCTCGTTTTAAAAGCAGCTGAGCCCGTTGGCAACAGACCCAACACTATCCGACATAAGTGTAGCCACCAACCGAACTAGCTGGCACACACACACACACACACACACACACACACACACACACACACACACATGCACACACGTACGCATGCACGCACGTACACACACTCACAAACTTGTACTTGCTCACTGCCAAAATTGATCACGTGGGTCTCCATGGGAGAGGGGAGAGAGATTCGAAAGGAATCTCAGAAAGAGGACTCACTTGGCTATTGAACCGCCCAATGGCCGACACCCCAAAAACGCACTGGATGTGCACCCACAGATTTTCTCTTATACTGTAGCAACGATAGCAGACAAGATCTGAATGAGACAGGTCAAGGCTAGCGCCAGATAACTGTCTAATCCACACAACTGGCGAAGCCATGTGAATCAACACCCAATGCACACCTGCTCGACACCACACGGAGTACATCGGACTAGGACGACCATGAAGTACACGTACACGCACACACATGCACACCTGGTCCTGGTCCTGGTAAACACTGCCATTACGGTCACGTGTCCCCTTACGAGGCCGACAATATAGAACGACGAGCGGGACCATGTTCTAGAGAGCCATCTCCAGCAGCTATGGATCTGGCTTATCATCGGAAACGATTCCTCTCACGGCTGCCGCTAGAAGTGGTCCATCACTCTCCACAACAGAGCGAACATTCCATGAGCCAACGCTCAGAGTCTACTCTGTTGTGGAGAGTGATGGACCTGTTCGAGCGGCCGCCGTGAGAGGAATCGTTTCCGACGATAAGAAACATGCACACACACACACACACACACACACACACACACACACACACACACACACACACACACACACACACACACACACATGCACACATGCCCACACGCACAACAATGGCCAATGGCCAGCACCTACCAATGGGTGTAAAGTAATAATCGTGATACTCATTCTTGGTGTAGTATTGAGATTCCACAGCGTGCAGTATAACATCCAAGATTATCCAGATGAGTGAGGTCTTCACATACTGCCCGATACCTACAATACATGCAGTCACACAATACATGTAGAGATGATGTAGTCATGTAGTCACACAATACATGTAGAGATGATGTAGTACACAATACTCATCTAGTCCCAAAAATACATGTAGACCAAGATGAAATCACACAATACAAGTCCTGTAGTCGTGTACACATGCACATGAAGTAGGCACACAGTAAAGTTGAAAGTATACACCCAGGCCTGCGTGTTCACACTCAACTCCCCCCCTCCCCCCCTCACTCCCATGTCCCAAAACATAAAACATGCATGCCGACACATAGGGTGTGTGTGTGTGTGTGTGTGTGTATGTGTGTGTGTGTGTGTGTGTGTGTGTGTTCCCTATCGTGTTTTCACTTCCAACAATTGTTAATTGCAGTATCAAAATCTTCCTCCAGGACGATGGAACATCATCAAACTTCAAAGGAGTTTTGAGCAACTTTTTTTATTTTCCACATCACGCTAGTTATGAGTCAAAACTCGACATTAGTGCTGTTCTGCTCTACGTTATGGTAACGTGACACAAAGAACCCGCAAACTTGACTGAGGCGACCGGATT